TAGTTGGTTTCTAAGGGCCGTGGGTAAAGACTGCTCTATGTAGACCGGATTTGGCTGCTCTATGTAGACCTGATTTGGCTGCTCGTTTTACAGGACTGGTAGAGGCTGCTGCTCAGAAAGCAGATATTATGAGAATTACTGAAACCTGCATGAATCAAGATGCATGTGCATGAATCTTAGACTCGCATCAGAAACTCTTGATGGAAATGGCTTCAAATTCGCTAAAAAGTTTTTACACTTTAGCGAAAAATTACCTCACATCTCTGATCAGCTGTTTCTGCTGTCAGCATTTTCCCAAATATCCCTATTATGCTTGAAACATGGGTGGAAGCTTCATTGCCATTACTGGCATACATGTCAATGAAAGAACTTGCCAGATAGCGACACATTCATCAAAACTTTGCTCCATTACTGATCTGTGTTCCGAGCTAGATTGTAGCCACTACTTCCTGTTTATAACAGACATGCATGATGGCCTAATATGGACAACGTATGACGAGATTATGTTTTGCATCTCTTTGTTAGTTGGTTCAAAACCAAATGGAAAAACAGCAAATTCATGTTTGCAAAAAAAATCACATTCCAGCTGGATGGAAACACAGCCAACATTGGAAAAAGATTCTTCCTCCTCTTTCTGGTCTAATAATAATAATAATAATAATAAATTTTATTTAACAGCGCCTTTCTAGACACTCAAGGTCACTTTACAGAAATAAAAATTAAAATACGAATACAGGAACATATACATAATAGTATAGTATTTGACAGGAAGTTTGTGTCACTGGGTCATAAGACATTAAGTTTTTTTCTTTATGGTATAATAATAAAATGAGGAACAAAATTAATTTTAAAAACATTTTTTTTTCTTTCAAACCAGGAGTCAGAATTTGATCACCATGTTAGAAATTAGCTGCATTTATGTTTGACTCTTCCTGTATGGCGCTATATAATTTGGTCTTTTTCGCATTCATTATTGTGTCTATTATTTTCTAAATAAAATAAAAAAAAGTTCTAACACTCATAAGTGGGACATTATGTTGTTTGATTTTGTCAGGATGATGTTAGACCTTTGAGATGTTCTCCATCAGGTGAAACTTCTTCCTTTTGATGAATTATCATCATCTTTGCTCTCGTCTTTATCCAGAAGCTCATTAACATCAGACAGGCCATCTGTTTCCCATAGAAAGCAGGAGGCAAAGGATCAGAGTAGGTCATACCTTTAAAAAGTCACCTTCTGCTAACCAAACAGCTACGGTCTCCCCCCGGATAAAAGGTCACTTCTCATTAGACCTCTAATGTTCTTTCTTTTTTTTTTTTTTTGAAAACTTTAAAAGGCCCAGTGTGGGGGCCAGAATAGTGGATTATTTTAATCCCAGAGTGGCACTGCACCATGGATGGGTCGGTAACCTTACAGCTCTAACTGGGCTTCATAAAAAAAGAAATATTGCACATTTTAAAAATGTTTTAAGCTGTTTAAAAATGTCAGATTTAATCGCTAAATCTTAAGCAGTAACTCTTTTAATTATATACTTGGATTTATTAAAGCTCCCCTGGGACACATTGAAGAGAAAGGAGGAAAAGTAACAGTCCTGTCAATCTTTAACTTTTTCAAATATTAGCTGGAATTTTTTGGTTATTCAGGGGAAACCCCAAAAACTCTTGCAAGAAAAATATTGAGATAAAAGATGAATAAAAATCCTTATTCTTTGATTTACTTAAGTTTAAGATATAGGAAATGGAGTCAATTTTGTTTATCAACTTTCAAAGGTCTTTAAGACAATTTTAAAAGCTTTAGAACTTCAGTGGAACTAACCATGGAGCAGTGGTGAACAACCAAAATTCATCCAGGAACCCTGTTAAGGATGGAGAGCTGGATAATGGACACGGTCCGATGAAAGGTTTAAGAGTGCATGGATTTGATAAATGAATTAGTCAACAATTCCAGATTATTTTAGACCGTAACAAACTCTAGATTATATTTTCAGATTTTCCGAATCAGATTTGTTTTGTATTTTTAAAGCAGAACTTTGGATTTAAAGGAAAGACCGACCAAACTAGCCACACATTTTAATCAATAGTAATCCAAATGTCTCTTATGGGACAGTTTTTCTTAATTTCTCTCGTCTTGTTTGTCCTGTATTTCCTTATAGAGGCTGAAGCAGAAGAACCAGCAGCTAAAGCAGATCATGGACCAACTTCGGAACCTCATCTGGGAGATCAACTCCATGCTGGCCGTTCGCAGCTGAGGACGAAGGACGGCGACGTGCAGGTCGTAAACCGGACAAAGGCCGACTGCACTTTACATGAGAAGCGGGAACTTTGGCAATATCAGCTTGGCTCCGAATGAAGGTTGGAAACCACAGAAGAACGAGGAAGGGTTGGATGGCAGAAACAGTTCTGTCTACCTCTATAATCTACAATCAAATCAGCATTATTTAACCGAAAGATCAAATACCTTTTATGTATCTGTAGCTACAGGCTAGATGAAGAACTATTAGATGTATTTAATCAGACTATACCTCTGACTTTATGAGGGGAATGACGAGCAACACTGTGGCAAAAAATGTATTAACGGCTAATCATAATGTCTGTATTCAATGTAATCTCTGTGCTTCTCATCAAACATCTCAACCTTGTTAAATGATCTGCTGAACTATAAATCTTTTTGAGATTTCAGAGAAAAGAAGTTGTGTTGTTTTGTGAATGTCAGAAACCATAACTCAAACCTGGATTAAAGACAGAGGAGTGATTTGGGGTATCGGAGTAAACTTTGAATTAAAAGCTCTGAGTTTTTGACTCAAAAACGCTGGAAACCAAACATTCCTCTGTGGATGGATTGCTAAGAGTTTAGGACTAAAAAATGGTTTAATCTCATTAAGGAATCCCAGCAGGATAAGTTACTGGTAACCAGTTATCAGCTGCAGAGATCAGTTTGGCACCCTGAATGGAAAAATCTTTTGTTTTCTGAAATATTACATGAATGCACCCTTTTTGGTACTTATTTAACTTTAACTATGGCTGTTTATCTGGTTGCTTCAAACACTGGAGATCAAAATGTAAAACATAAACTAATTGCAATTCTTTTGTCAAGCTCCACAATTTGAGGAAGATTGCAAAGCTGCATGAGGAATCAGGTTCTGTGCTGCACTTTCCGCGCTGCAGTGAACCTGCAGAGAGAGCCGGCTTTTTTTAATTTGAATTTCCAACAAGCTCCATCAAAGGAATGCCTAATTTAAAAAGGCTGCGCTCATTAATAAACATCTCTACTCCTCATGTCTCCACCTGAAAGTCACCTGCTGGCAGCTTCTAACAGGTTAGTACATTTCAACAGCTATTTTCTTCATTCTTAAGATGGAAACAAAAGCTTTCTGTCAAGGTGAAATTTCACCTTGCATATTTCTTTATATATATATTTTTCTTGTCTAAAAAAGTTTGATTTAAGTTCAGTTCCAATAATGGGGAGCTTTGTTGGAGTTTTGTTTGCAGCTCGCTTATAGATCAGAGGACCAAGACGTCAGATTAAAGGAGAGATCCAGCTCAGAGAACCTCATCCAGAACATGAAACGTGAGTCAAAATCTCTGCATGTGCCGTCGCACGGCTGCACCGCCATGACACAGATCTGCAGGGAGCATCGCTGTGTTTGATACGGCCTGTTTAATAATGCAAACAAAGCAGGGGTCATATCGGAGCCCAGTTACAGCTATTGTCTGCAGGGAGACGAAGGACAGCTGCTGTGTTGGAGCCATGCAGGAGAAAAAAAAAATCAATGTTCTGAGCGGTGACTAATAAAGCCGTCCTCAGCGGTCTAACACGGAGGTGGTTATTATATCTCAGAGGGCAACGCTGCGCTGAAGGACTATTATTACTGTACAAATAAAGTGTTCTGGTGCAGCTGAGCCGCAGGTCGAGGCCTGAGTGCTTGTTCATGCAAACGGTCGTCGCAAATGAAATGTGGAATAGAAAAAAAGAAGCATTGATTGAAAAGAGGCTCGATCAGTCCTCCTGTCAGCAGCCTCATATTAAGATTAATCCTTTGAATATGTCCTGTTTACACAGATTCTTTCAGTAGTGATTGCACACTATTAAAGATCTGTTCGATAAGGCTGGGCGGCAGAAACCAGCAGCGGCTCTTTAGTATATTAATGCACAGAACAGGTACATCTCTGTTAAACTGGATTTATTCAAATGATTTTACACCTTTGGCTGGGGCTCCTTTTGCATCAATTATTGCATTAATGTGGCTTGGAGGAGATCAGCCTTCAGTTCTAGTGAAGTGAAGCTCAAGTTGCTTTAATAGCTGCTTGGAGTGATGTCTTGACTAATTGTTACACTAATATAATTACAGTTCAAAGCATTTATGAATCTCTTAGGCTGTTTAGACTTTGTCACTCCTGCCCATTAGGTGGCAGTAATGGGCTTAAAGTTTATTGCGCACACAGAACAGAAGACTAGCGGCTGGCAAACAGATCCATACATGTGACTTTAACAGTAAAGTCCTGGAGTAATGTACTAGTATGTGCAAGTATCTGAATTCTGGTGGCTGGAGAAAATGAAAACTGTAAATAAAATTGCAGTATTAGTTCAAATGATTAAATTTAGAACTTTGGCTAAATCATTCAGCACTACTGTACTTCAAGCTACACTAAAATGTCTAGCTGTTGTGGGAATTTTAAACTTTTTGAAGCAATCTTTCTTCTGTTAAGTGACCACTAACTAGCAGTCCAGTTGTTTCTCTTTAGCTTTAAATGTTTTCTGTTTAGTGTTTCCTCTTGAAGTAACCTTTAACCATCCAACTCCATATTTTACTTTAACTTTATTAATGGCTTTGGTTTGATGGACACAAGGATTAGTAAAAGGATAAATGTAAGTAGAAATATGTGAGAGGGAGCAAGCTAGGATACACTGAAGGACAGGAGAGAAGGAAGTATACTAGGAAAGTGAGGATGGATGGGTACTAAATAAATTTGATCTGTTATTCAGACAGTATTGGAATAAATATGCACACACACTGATATAATCAAATATGAGTTTATTTTTTTTTATAAATCATTCTTACAAAATTGTCATTTATCTATTTAATTTGTGGCCTCTATAAAAGTCTCTTAGTTACAGGGTAGGAGGGAGGAAAGGCATCAGGACAGCCAGGCTTCCCCGAGTCCCTCACAGATCAACGTCACCACGGTAACAGTGTCCAAAAACACGGGGGATGTTGAGAGAAAGCTGCGACTCCTTTAGTGTATAAATGTTGGGATTCTGGAAATGATGCCGGTTATTTCCCAGCAGAACTCAGCTGTTGATAAAAGGCACAAATTAGGACCAGAGTCCACCTCTGAAAACATTTTAGATAAACTTTTCTCTGTAAACGACGCAAAAGTTTTCCCTCAGTTTTCTCCATCACACTCTGAATCAGATCGGGAACAGAAAAGTTTCTGGAACTTTTAACAGACCATTACTGTAACGTGCGAGGAGGGGATGAAAAGTCTCCATCTGGTTCAGAGGATGATCCAGCTGTCTGAGTCTTCTCTGGGACTTTGTAATTCAACTCCCACTGAGATGCGAGACGGTGGGGCCTGATCCAATCATCAGCATGCCATCTTTATAGGAGATTAAAGCTGCAGCAGCCATGCTGGAACCGTCCCGTCTCTCCCTCTGCTGCAGGGGGAGGTTTCAGAGTGAGATGGATGTTTCCCAGGGAAAACCGATGCAGGGGGGGACAGAATCAACCGTGCATCGACATCTGTGTGGGCTGATGTGCACAGCAAGGAGGAAACGGGCTGAGTAAACATCACCAGCTCCCCTCAGAGATGCAGGATTAATGTTCTTACATTACATGCAGCACATGACAAAAGTATTGACACCCCCTCTTTTTTCACATTGCAACCACAAACTTTAATATGTGATAGGAGACCAACACAAATAGTCTAATGTGGAATGGAAGGAAAGTGAGGAGTTTTTTGTCAAATAATCTGAAAATTGTGGCCTGCATGTTTATTAAGCCCTCTGTCAATGCTAAAGAAAGGTGCCTTCAGAAGTCCGGTGATTATTAGAAAAAGCCAAGTGCTAAACATGGTGGTGGCAGCATTATGCTGTGTTTGTTCAGCGCTGACAGGAAAGGTGGACAAACTGGTATAAATATTCCAGACTTTCATCAGTTAAAACAGCAAGAAGGGGGTCTTCAAAGCTTTGACTTAAGGAAGCTGGATACAAAAACACATGCCACACATTTCAGATCATTTGTAAACAATGACATTTCTCTTCCACTTTAAAGTGCATCAAAGTTTGTGGTTTAAAGTGTTAGTGTGGTTTTCCAGGGTGCTGCATGTTGGGGATTCGGATGAGCGGCAAAGACTAAATCTGGCCTAAATGAGGAGTTTCACATTCTCTGTAATGGCTGAACACTTTACATTAAACAGATGATAAAAAAAAAAAATACAAAATGAAGTGAAGGAGAGAGCAGTGATATGTTAGGATGTGTAAAAAGGCTTTGTTATATTTTGCATCAACTAAATAAAAACGAAGAGTCCGGCTGATAATTGAGTGATGAAAGCAGAGGAAACGGTGACTAAAAAAGGCCACTAAAAGCATGCAGCCATCTTGATTCATTGCAGATTTAAAGCCACTCTGTTACAGGCAGGTGAATGTCGCAAGTCGACGTTTTCTACAAACATGACGCTCCATAATCTATGACGCTTCATCGCCGCTCTGTCCTCTGGGAATGAAAATGGCTTTCTAAATGAAATGCTTAATTGAAGCCTGACAAATGGAGGAGAAATCCTCTCTGTCGATTTAATGGCTCTGAGGTCCTCTGATATGTCAAGGGGAAAAAATAAAAAGAAAAAATGGCAGCGACGCGTAAATAAAAAAAAAAAAAAGGTGTTTAGGCAGCGTTGATGTGCAGTAAGCGACGACGAAGGCAGCCCTCCGAGGTCAGAATGGCACTGATGTGCTCTGAACAAGCACCGCTAAAAAAAGAACAGGTGGCGGTCACTAAAACGAGCTGCAGGGGAGGGAATCTGTTCAGAGACCATGCAGAAAGAAAAGGTTTGTGTTTGAACGCACAGTTCTGCTCCGTTTAATCCAGAAATGTTCATCTTACTTATTCCAGGGATTTTTTTTTTTCTCTGCTTCAAGCTTTTGGTTGGATGAGCCGACTTTCCAGGACTCTGGACACAGAGGAGTGAGAATAAGAGAAAAATGGGTCATGAAACGAGGAGTTCTCCTCGCCCACCACAGAGATAAAAGGCTGATAGGAAACACGGTGGAGGAATGAGCCGGGGACCGGATAGATGTCGATGAAAACAAAAACACTTTGTGCCAGCAGGCCTCACACATATAAAAGCTGGATCTCTGCGGCGGCTCCAGTTTCAGTCCTGATGCGGATGAGGGAGGGACGAGCGCTGGGATTTGTGTCGGTCAGCCATCACAAACGCCTTCCCCTCTACCGTCCTGCATGTGTGCAGAGAATGCTGGGAAGGCTCCCTTTGATGCCGGAATCCTTGTACAAAAAATATTCTCTCCAACAGTTTCTGTCGTCAGTAGTGCTCGCCGTGTTTGAAACATACAGTCTCTGTTTCCTTTGTTTTTACGTCCATCTGTTTGTTCCACCTGGATCAGGTCCAGGATGCAGCAGCAGCGCTGTGGTCATTGGCAATGTGCTGAGTGGATGACAGGGCGACGTCTCACCCCGTCCATCCCGCCGTAGTTCGGATGCTCCTCCGACTCTCTACGGAGTCTCTGTCGCGCGCCTCCCCCTGTGTGGAGTCTCCCCCGAGGGGGCGGCGGTCCTGTCAGAGCCTCTCGATGTCCCTGTATTTTTTGCGCAGGATGGAGACCTGGTCCTTGAAGAGCACAGGGTCCAGCCTCATCTGGGAGTGGACCAGCGGCATGCCGCCAAACCAGCTGGCGAACTTGTTCATGCAGGTCTGCCGCTGGGCGAAATGGTCTGGGTCGGCCCAGCGGGACGCCCTCGATGACTGATGGGGAGAGAAAGGAGAGCAAACGTTTAAGAAAAGGGTTTCTATTAAATTTAGTTATTAACTAAACCCAAGATCAAGACATCCATCCCCAACGGAGGTTAAAGGTCAGCCAGCAGCCTTAGGCTTCCTAAAGAACAGCATCTAGAGTTTTCTGTCACAATATATTAAACTGTCCTGACCAACACCAGGAAGGTGGATCCTATCAGACCTGCTCCTACATCCCTGCATGGAGCCGCAGTTTGGCAAAAAATGCATTTAATATCCTGCTTTTGGTCTATAAAGTGTCCTGGCAGGTGGACCATTCGCATGAAAACCTGAGATGCAGAAATGGCTGAAAACGAATCAATAAAGAGCAAATTTAATTCAATCAATAAAGAGCAAATTTAATTCAATCAATCTAAAAATTTAAAAATGTATTGAATGCCTAGGATCTATATTTTATCTTTCTTTTTTATTTGGAAGAGTGAGAAATCTTTGAGCCTAAAAGGTAAACATGCCAAAGAGGCCAAGAATAAAAGAGCGAGGGCTGGGCAATATAAATAAAGTTCAGATTATTTCATTTTTAATTTGAGTTATGATGCCCCAAAAATGCCCCATCATAACAAAATCGACTGCAACAAAATTGTTTAATTAATTGAATCGATTTTTTTGGCCGAAGCCTAAAAGGAGCAATGCATGAAGCTACATCTATTAAAGTTCAGGACTTCATTGTTTAAATCTGCTCTTAAATCCTGTTTTATTCATACTGATGATGTTTTTTAGAACTGGAAGCAGCTGAGATCTAATGTTTTATTTCTTTGCCAAAAGAGCCCATATTTTATCTTCAGCCAAACCATGACAAAGAAGGAACTACCAATAAAACTTTTCCATAAATCGTCTGCTGCTTCATGTATTTCAGTTTTGGGAATCTGGAACAAACATCTCTTGTTTCTGTCCTGTTCCCCCTGGGGGCCAACTAAAGTATTTTAGCGGGATAAATCACTGATGAAAGGAGAGTCGGCTCCGGTTCAAAGGAAACGGGCTACAGGAGGCTTTAACAATGATCCAAAGCTGAGAAACTGTTACAGTCTTTGTGAAATACTGCTGTAACGATGCTCTGTGGTCCTAACAGCGGCTGGGTTCCCCTCACCTGGCCCATCATGGTCTCCTTGTACTGCTTCTTCTGTGTGATCTTAATAGGCGGCAGCTTGGTGACGGCAGAAACCAGGAAGTTCATGAGGATGTCCTCACAGTTGGCCAGCTGGTCCACCATGTTCTTCAGGCTGGTGGGCAGGTAGTGGGTGTACAGGTAGTGATAGTACCTGCAGAGACAGGAGCTGGATTAGGAAACTAGGACTTTAGGATCCTAACTTAAATTTCAGACTGGAGGGGAAGCCTTCAGTGACAGATCAGAGGTGATGATTGGCTCACTTCAGCCTAATGCAGTGTTCCCATCACAGCAGAGTGAAGTCATATTAAAGCTGACAGGACTTCAGCTGAGCTGCATGTAGGAACTACAGAGGCCTGTGTTCAAGACAAATTGACTTTTTTCTATCCCATAAAACCTGGGAAGTGTCAAAACACTGGTTTCCTGCGGCTGCGCTCCACTGAACATCACATCCACTTTGTGAACCACAGATCAGTGCTTCAAAGCGCTCCATCAAAAGGGAGACGAGCGAGCGCGGAGGAGAAGGAGCCTGAGAGAGGACAGAGGAGCCGCCGGAGGCTGATGGTACCTGTGGAACATGGCGGCACCGGTCAGAACCATGGAGTAATCATTGGTCCATTTGGAGGTGTAGCCCCAGCGCTCCTTGTTGCTGTCCCAGAAGTGGCTGCGGGCCGGGTAACCCACGATCCGCTCCGGAAAACTCATCCAGACGGTGAAAGCAAAGTCCACCTGGACAGAAACAAATATGGACAGAACCTAATGGTTAAACATCCTAGAATATAGAAAATCTGACCCACATTTCTGACACTTTGGACCTAAACGAGGAGCCTCCGCCAGGTGGTGGGTTCAACATGTTTCTGAAAGATGCTGCAATTATCTATAATAAACATTTCTGTTTAGCAGAGAGGATCAGTGAGTCTGCTGAGCATGTCCAACATTTTCACCTTGGAGGCTAACCAGACACATTAACACTAACAGAGCCTTCTATTCGCTGGAATATAAGAGACTCTGATTACAGCTGCAGAGTTGCTTACAAGGTTCTGCAGGGGAAGTCCTGTCTGGATGCAGAGAGAAAGAAAGCAGCTCCTTGTTTTTATTGAACAATGGATAAAACTACAGCACACATCTCTTTAAATCAGCTTCTATCAGCAAAAAATCAATCCTTTAAACGTTTGCTCAAAGCACAAAACTAAGTAACTAAATGAACTATTTAAGGTCAAAATAATCTTTTTACCATTGAACCACCAAACTCATCAAGCCTCTAATATTTTATCTTTGATTTCTAACAGTAATGCTGTTCAATAGAAGGAACAGGTGTGTTTAGGTGTCATCTAACAGAACTGCGTAGAGCTTGGATTAGGCTGACATTTCTGTATAAAAAAATCATAAAAAAAACACTTGAATCATCTTTGAAGATGGTTTTGGGGTTTTTATCATCTGCAGAGCATTATCATAAAAATAATGAGCTAACTGGCTCCTTTAGAAAACAGAAGTAAGAAATGTGACGTTTTTGAGCTGGCTGATAAATCTGAACATCATGGATTAACTTTATGGAGGAACTGAGCTACTGTAATCTGACAACAATGTATTGATAACAACTACAGCTGATTTTACACGAACAGGTTGTAAACCTCACTAAAGTCATTAAATGATTCATCCTAAAGCTTTGAAATTTAACATATCCTGTTAAGCCGAGGCAGCGATGTCTGATCTGTTTACAGAATATTGGACATCAGCGACTTAAAGAGAGAATGAAAACAAACAGTTTCTATTTTCTTCAGTGAAACAAAGCGAAGCAGCTGCCTGCAGCCGACTGCTGTTGGACGATCAAAGCATCCAATTGCTGAAACATCAAAAAGACACTTTTCCTTTGAGTTACAACACAGTTTAACCACACAGTGGACACAAACACAATGCTTTGAAAATAGTTCTTAAAGCTGCTTTTTCTGCATAAAGGTAAAACATTGCTGCTGATTTATGAGGAGGAAGATTTAATGATTATATTTATCATTATAATCATGGATTAAAACATTTTTTTTGTTTCATTTAGTCTCACACAAATTGCCTCATTAATGCCAGACCTATAAGATACAAAAAAATATAAAATAGAACCTGTTTGACAACAGAAGGTAAGAAATAGGAAGCAACAAATAATCCCAGCAGAAGTCAGACTACCAAAATTACTCTAAGAGCACAAAAAAAGTTAGGCCAGCAATCAATGTATGATTGTCTTTGGGGAATGTTGAGTCATGCTGAATTTCAGCTTCATCATGCGTCCTGTGTGGCGAAAAAACGGGCTATTAGCCCCTCATGAGGGGTTTGCTGCTGCCGAGGCTACGAGCCGATTTCCATCCTTATGCAAACAAGAGAATTCTTCCTCTTCCACTTCCGCCTGAGTCCATGTGGTTTTTGTGTTAGAACTGATATCGTGAACTGTAGCTTTCAAGTCACTGTTTACGGTTTAACAAATATAAATGTAGATGAAATAAAACATCTGGTTTAGAGCAGTTAGATTATGCAGCCAGACAATGATCCAAATAATCCAGCAGGTCAAAGTTTGAGAGGCCTAATTAAAGACTTTAAAGCAACTGTGATGCTGTTACCTAATCCTGCAAAGGAAAGGGACTTAAAACTCTCCAAAATAATGGTTTCTAATTATCACTGCGGGTTGATGTCAGTTAGATATAATCCCAGGTTGGCTCAGACCACTTTCCTCTCCTGATAGTTAAAAAGTGAAACAAAAGCAGGAATCAGCTTCGTGCCCAAAACACGTCACTATCTCCCATTAGAATCCTGGAGTGAAAAAGGAGGATAGAAACTTTATTTAGATGAAAGTGTCCTTGTAAGGAAAGATGAGCTGTTTTACAAGTCGTGATTTTTAGAACCCACATAGAACGGTTTGTGCTCGGCTATCTTCATGGGAGGAACACAGGTGGGATTAGTTTTGGTTGATGGATTTCTCCGTCCCTCGACTGCCATCTTGATCTGCACCGACGGCCTTTTTATTAGATCTAATTCTGCGCTTTTCAAAGCAGCATCTGGCTTCCCATGGTTCCACGCCAGAACTCATCCACAGCACAAAAACATTAAACTAAAAACAAACCCAGGAATGATCCCAACAGCATTTCGAAGAAAAAAAAACAAACTGATCTCTATTAGGCTGCAGATGGACGTCCAACAGATGAAAGAATCCTTAGGAGAGTTTGCAGCTACATTTAATCCCAAACAGGAAGACGGGTTTCTGGTTGTGATGCAGTGACTAACCTCTGTGGTGGACAGCACAGTGTCTTCGTCCAGGCTGAGGACAGCATCGGTCACAATGGTCTCATAGGGCAGGAAGCGGCTGCTCATGACCTTCAGGGAGGAGAAACAGAACCCAGAGTCAATAACGAGGCAGAACAGCTGGAGAAGCCAGACATTAATGATCATCTGGCAAATATCAGAGACTGGAAGAGCAAATGGAAAACAGAGACACCAACTATTGAGTTCCTCTCTAAATTACAGCATCAATAACCGGTAATTCAGGTCAACAAGTCTGTTCTAATTTATCAGTTTCTTGACAGTTTATCTCTAAATAAAACCAAAACCTGAGGAAATCAGAAAAAATATTCATGTAAAAATATATGAATATTATCTGATTTCTGCATCTAAATCATGTCCACTTTTATGTGGTTTATTGTTTTTTTTTTTTTTTTAGTAATGGAGGTGGTAACCCAGAAGGATGACGGTTCCCACTGAGAGGGCTGCCATTGACACGTTTCCATAGAAACCTTTTAGGACCTCAGCTTTCCAATTATAAGTTATTGTGTTTACATTCAGGATAAAGAGCTGCTTTTCCACAGAGAGAGAACTTTCTGTTCATTCAAACGGACTCAGCTGGCTGTTCTTCCACTCATCTTCTGCTGCTTTTTTTGGGTCAAGTATCTGCAGCAGACTAAATAAGACTGAGTGTCTTTCATTTAGCCTCTTCTTTCTAAGAGTTTGCCTTGTTATAACAGAGAGGCAGCATGTTTTCCTCCTGGGAGTATTAAAAATAAATCAAAAACGATGTTCCTATAGGACGCCAGGCCCACAAATATAAAAGAACAGGTAGGGACACATGCTGAGACTATCTGCTGAAATCGCTCTGTTTGATGAACTGTGAGAGCTTGGAGACACATTTATTTATAAAATGTCTGCAAGCTTTAGCTGCACACAGATACAAGCAGGTGATTTATACACTATAGAAAGATGAACAAACCTTCCTCTCAGACTAAATCAGACATTTTGCTGCTTTAGGTCAGGATGTCCTTATTCTTTATGCTGGAATGACCATTAATTGTCTTTTTTTATTCAAGTTAAATCATTTCATCAATCTCCTTCTACAAGCTTCTCATCATTTTATGCTGGACTTTTGGTCTTCCTGACAGAACAGCTGGAACCAATTCTTTTTCTATGGATCTGGTTGTTCCTTTAAATAACTGGGCTCTACGTTAAAGCTTTAAGAAAAAGAAACATTACTTGTTTTGTTTACTATAGTTGCAAATTCTGAATCTTTTTGAATTGCTGAAAATATTTAAATATGGTAGAAGTTGAAAATATAACGTGGAGATTTGGGTAGATGTTTTCAGCGAATAAATTAGCATAAATAAATGGAGTAACTGTCTTGATATTTATAAATTTCGAGGAAAGACTTTGCCTGTATTTGAGAATGAAAACATGTCTTATTTTAAACCACAATAACAATAAAGCTTCTTCCTCTAAAAGTGATGCAATTTGTCCTTTGAAATGTTCCTAAACCGTAGATTTCTTTTAATCCTGGCCTTGCAGTACTGACTTCCTCCTCTCTGAGTGGCTTTTCAGCCCATGATGATGCTGCCTTCGTCAGTCTGTAGCTCAGGGGTTGATTTAAACATTTTACACCAAAAATCTCTGAGGAATGGATTCTCTCCTCCTGAAGACATTTGAAATGAACATGGCTGCCTTCAGGGAAACAAACTCAGACTTGTAGAGATCCAGAACTTCAAGAAAAGCACTTTCAGGTGTTGCCTTGGTTGTCCCCCTGATTAAATCATAATTGTGGGATTGAAGCCACTCATCTCTGTGGATATTCAAGCCGCATGAAACCAAGCTTGAAAAAAATTAGCACACACTAGATTTCTGATTTATCAAAAACTGATAAGAAAACAACATGGAAAAGCAAGTTATCTGACCCTGGAAATTTATCTTGCCCACAAAAGTGTTACTTGTCAAAAATATAATTGATAGTGAACCACTGAGCACATTTTTGTTTTGTTTTTTCATTTTAGATTATTGCAACAACAATAAAATTGAGTTAATCTGCTGCCTATTTTCTGGTTTGGGGTGAAAAATTATCCAGTTTTCTTCCAAATAAAAGCAAACTGCCTGAATAGAGGCGGACCTTCTCCGTCCTGTTCCCCAACCTAAAGAGGCAGCTGCGTTGGTCCAGGACCAGTTTTTGATGGTTTTCCAGAAACATCCCTCCAGGAGAAAACTCCAGGAAAGAGCAGGGACTCACTGGAGGGACTGGAATTAAACCTCTCTGGATATTCCAGCTGGAGAATTCTGATGACAGAATGTCTGTGCTTCATTCTGGACCTATTGGCAGGTCCAAGAATAAAAAAACACCCAGCTATGTCAGCATGAATTGGACTAATTTTATCAGAGGAAGATTAAAAACACAAAGACTTTATTGATCCTCTAACTTTAGAGGGAAACCCTCATTAGTGAGTGAAAACAAAAACCTCCCAGCTGGATTCCAGGAGTCCAACTACAAACTGATCCCAGTGACTCGGGTCATGCAAGCAGAGTGAGCTGCAGGCTAAAGAAACAGAACCATCAGCTTAGAAACAGCCAGCAGATGTTAGATGGTTCCTGCTGCTGACATCCACAGCAAGGAAATGAAGAAACACAAGAACAAAGACTGAAGCAGATGAGAAGATAAAATAATGCAAGGCTGCAGGAATCCAACACACTTTTAATTTCTTCATGTGATGCTTTAAAATAAAAGGAGGCCGTGTTAAACCTGCATCCATGGATCCACCTCCTTCAACAGCTCCCTTCAAGCTGGACAGAAATATTCCCTCTGAGATGCGTCCTTAACTAGATTCCCTCTCTTTTTAGCCTCCACTATCTAAGGCATGCATTTTTAATGACGCCTCACACATTCAGAGGAGACAACAGCCAATACCAGCTCAGAAAGAGTGAAGAGAAAAGCAAATATCCCGCTCCTTCCTGCAGGGCGCGGCCTGTCGTTTTCAGCAGTGATAAAGCGCTGAACCAAGTCTCCATTACTGCTGCAGGCGCTCCTTTTCTCTTTTAAATCAATAAAAACACATAAACGGACCCAGGCACATGCTGCAAGTCTTGTATTATACATGTGGCACAAATTTACTCTCCTTCTCCTAGCCTGTTGGAACCAGACTGTTTTTACAGCAGATGAAGTCGGCCTGTATAATACATGACGCTGAATATTTACAGGGAGCAGAGTCTGCTGGGTGGAGGGAATATTCAGGATATTTAGATGGAAACTATTTGTTTTGCTGCAGTGATGAAAGGAGGAAATAACAGCAGATTCTTGATGAGGACGTGAACCACAGCTTCCCACACAGACATATGGCTTCAACTGGTCTTCATTTATTCCCTCGGCTAAAATAGGAAACCTATATCCAAAAGATTTCAGACCAATAAATCCATTGATTGTTGACTGTAAAGTTTAGGTTTACAAAAGAAGGTCATTGTTTAACTAATCAACCTTACAGACTGTAAAGGATGGACTCATGGATGCATTGGGGAAACTCTCAGCCAACCGCTGTTCATCTCTGCAGCTCCTTTAGAAATATTTTCATTGACATAACGGAAAATAAAAGGTTGAATTAAAAGAATTATCTTTTGTTAGAGCTCTAGATTATTAATCTGGCAGCCAATAAATTATGTGATGTAAAGATATTGAGGAAAGATATTAATGCCGTAGCTCCTCGTGAGAAGAAACCAGGCCTTTAACTCAAACACTCCTCTACATCAAACATGCATGCAGATGTAATTCTCTGAGCCTTCTGAATATTTAGCTTTAATCTTGAAAACAAGAAGCAGACTTTATTTTGAAAGCTCTGCTTCAGTATATACATAGATGTGGGTTACTCCAAAACCTTTCAGCTTGCAAAAAAAGAACCAATAACGTGTTGAATACATATGGACAGAAAATCAGTTCAAAAGTAAAACAAATACACAAAACTATAAAAAAATGCCTCAGACTAGTTTGCTCATCTGACACTTTATTATGGAAAAAATATTCTCATGAACTTTTTAGCTGTTAGTAAAAGGGATCACGTTACTTTTAGCAAATTCAACTAATTTAGTAATTGAGAATCGTTAACTGGAATATAAAGACGAGAAATACTTCCTGCTTTGTTGCTTTAAACATAAATATAAACATATATAAAAACTTAGAGCTGATTTAAACATTTTTAAATCAGGTACCAAGTCCTTCCACCAGATTATTGGACCTGCTTTCTAAATGAAATACAAACTTTAATGTCATGCAGGTAAAATTGATTATTTTTTACCATCCTCAATACTGTGGCTATCCCTGTTGCTAGGCAACCTTTCCCTACCCTACTTCTTCCCTCCACTTAACTTTCTAGCTCATATTTAGTGAGAGTCTTATGGACATGTCTCTATGACCCAGACAGGGAACATCTAGAGGCTCAGAAAACATTAGCAGGTGTTTGGAGCTAAATGGTTGCTTATGATGCGATTAGTTTCCAATATTTAACATTCTCACTATACTGAACACTGAGTCTTACAGAAGTAAAGAGGTTCAATAATTCACTCTCTGGAGTTTCAGTTTCTAAATAAAAAAAATATTAACTTTTTCACAGCGATTTGATTCCTTTACAACAGCTTTTTGTTTCTAATACTTAACTATTCATGAAGTTATTTCTCTGGGTATGGAAAGAAAAAGAATCAATATAAAGTCATCGATTGAACTTCAGGGCCTGGCAGGGATTGGTTAACGGGCAGGCTGGTGTCGTCTTTCCTAAAACCCTCCAGAGGTGGCAGTGTCGAGTCGCAGCAAAGGTGAGCGAGTGAAAGACGGAGGAAAACCAGAGTTTAATAAAACATAGAAGAGGAACCCTTAGCCTCGCTTCATTTTAGTCTTTACTCCTCTGACGTCCCAAAGGAGAAGAAACCACACAATCCCAGCTCTGCTCCTGGTTCTCCCTCCACAGAGAAGAAGAGAACAAGAGAGAAGGGGAAAAATTAGAAGGAGAGACAAAGACAGGAAGAGAGGCTGGCGTTTGCAGCCTCCAGTCAGGTTGTAATGTTAGAGGTATGAGCCCGGGGCTTCCTGATGCTCCTCAGGAATGTGACTCCTAGCAGCAGGAATCCGCCTGCAGCACTTAGGCTCCTCTTTCCAGAGAAGGACGGTGAAGAGGAAGGAGACAGGAGGAGAAACTGACCAAAGCGGTACTTCCAAACAGAACTTTGAAGAAAGTAGTGAAAATATTCCAGCTTTACGGTTCCATTTACAGCCCTCCTCCTGTCTTGTAGAAACCAAATTCACTGTTTTATTACTCAGATCATAAAACAACAAGGTACGAACATCCAGAGAAGAAGGAGGACGAGAAAAAAGATGCTAAATGATGGTCTTTAAGGAAAAGGATGGAGAAAGAAACATGCAGGAAAAAGGCAGAGCGATGGAGAGAAGCAGAGCTCTGCCTTCATCTCCCTCTGTGGGGTGGAGGAACACAGCTTGGCTCGCTGCAGTAAACACAGAAAAACACCACAATCACAACAAACCGCAGGCCGTCTGGCACGCTCACACACCCAACGCTCAGCCCGCTCTGCTCACTCTTTCACGGACACACAGAGAGCCTCTGAGGCCTTCCGTTATGACTGACAGCTTGGAGGAAACCACTCAGAGTAACAAGGGGAGGAAAACCACTTCCACTCAGTAGCAGGTGAAGCTAAAGCCTAACAGGTCTGGATGGAAGCAGGTGGATCCGCGCGTCTGAATCGATACTAAAGTCAAAATAAATAAAATGGAGGGAAATCAATAAATATCCAAACAAAGAATGAAACCTTCTCAGACCCTCCAGGTTACGTCTCTACAGGCAGAGTTCAGAGTTACAGAGCAGCTGATGATTTACTGCCTGCTGACTCTTCAAGGTTTCCTTCAATCAGAAAAAGACTGACCTGGTGGAGCAGAGCAGGAAGCATTGAGCTTTTATTCCAGCAACATAAAGACAAGAAATAAACCTCTCTCACTACGACTGTTCACGCCTCAGAAGAACCAAACTCCTGCAAAGTCTTCCTAGGTTTCCACCGAAACAGCAGAACAACATGTTTCTCTGAGGCCACACAGGATAGAAAGCAGGGCTGTAGTAGCATTTACAGACCCACCAATGAGAAGCTTAAGGTGCATTCAGGGACACTGCGTACACTGGACAACCATAATGCCACAGTCATTAAAATAAACCATCAGCACCATCATTCAAAAGTTCTCTTAAATAGCAAACATGGCTGTTTTTAGCTAACCTTGTGCTGAAAGCTGGATTGTTGTGAGATCTGAGTTTTCAGTCTCACAACAAATCCATTTTGAAAAGTCACACTAATACGTCCTTCTCGTAACCACCGACCAATGAGATGCCAGCATTGCTTTTTGGGGTGGGGCATGTAGGAATGACAACAGTCAGAAGGGCCATGCCGGGGCAATACATAATGGAGGACTCAGCTGTTGATACCGAAATTGACTCAGTTTTAGCTAAAATAGCAATAAATCCTCGTTTAAAAAAGGAGCAAAGAGAAGCAATTAGTGCATTTGTAGATGGGAAAGATGTTTGTGCTTTTCTTCCAGCAGGATTTGAAAAAAGATTTATCAGCTTACGAAACGTCATGATTCGCTACTACGATTGTCTGTATTACACTTGAAAAAAAAATCTTAAAACTAATTTTTTCTTAAAAGAAGTGCATCTTGGATTTAAGAAGGTAAAAGACATTTCGCCAATGGAACAAGACAATTTACACTTAAAATAAGAAAAAACAATTGCATTGTCTTATTTCAAGAGCATATTATCTAATGATCTTATTTTAAGAGTAAAAATACTCATTACTATACTCATACTATATACCACAGGTGTCAAACTGGTTCCAGAAAGGGCTGTGTGGCAGCAGGTTTTCTTTCCAACCAAACAATAGCACAACAGACTCCATATCAACATGTTCAGATTGGACTCCCTTGATGAGATGACTGGAGTCTGGTGTGCTATTGCTTGGTTAGAAAGAAAACCTGCAGCCACACGGCCCTTTCTCGAACCAGTTTGACACCCCCTACTCAAATTAAGGATAAATACACTTATTTTTAAATTTGTACTTATTTCTAGATTGTTTTTCCAGTGTAGTCATTACTCTAGCTGGCACGTCAGCCATCCCTGGTTGATAACGTAGAACTCAATTCTACACACATCAATCTGGCTACTGCCAGCTCAGGTTATAGGAGGACTTATGTTTAGATCATTTACACTGGAATCGGTTATACATGATTAACCTCAATACATTTAAAATAAGTCAAATCTAATCTCCATGAATTTCTTTATCAGCTGCTCTTTGGAGTTATAAAACTAAACAAAATTAAACTATTATATATTAGAAATTATCTTTATTTACTATTAAAAAAAAGACAGAAGGCTTGCAGCACCTTTACAGCCTTCTGGGAGTTTGTTCCACATTATTTATGACCTTTAATTTATTATGTTTTGATCAATTAACCAAATAGTTTTTAGTTCAAAGTTAAAAACCTGTTTGTTTAGAGCTGCTTCTGACTGTTGAATTTAAACTGTTAAATGAGGTATCAGTAGTTTTATTTGCTTTAATATCTGCTTTTATCGTGTTTTTATCTTTAATTGCTTTTATTTTACTGCTATTTTACTCTTGAATTTTGAATTGCCTTTATACTCAATTGTTTTTATATAATTGAACTTGCCTTAAATGGTAATTTATTTCTTTAACAAACCAGCATCGCTACCATGGCTGATCTCTCAGCCACAGGTTTCCATCAGACTGAGATCAGAGTTTAATTTCTGGACCACTTAACGAGCCTTTGGTGGGTTATCAGGAAAAAGGCCACAAATTGTTCATCTAAAAGGCCGTATTTATAGCTGAGGGACACAGGAAGTGATGGATTAAAATACTAAAAGCCTGTGGATAATGGTTGATTAGAAAACCAGAGGTGATGTTGGTTTTAGGAATTATCAGTGGAAAAAATGAATATTTCAACACACCAAAGGATTATTGGGTGAAATAATGAGGAAAATAATAAATAGGAATAACAAAACATTTTCTGAGACATCGGCTTGTTCTAGTTTGACATCATGGAGAAGAGGAACAAAGGTTTTTTAATTAAATCAAAGTAGTATTTCTTCATTTCATCTCACTTTATTCTCCAGCATCATTCACAGCTCTGATGAAACATTCAGGGAATCAACTAAAGAATAAAAATAACATCTTTCTATGCTTTTATTGTTATGGTAGAAGAAAAGCTTGAGCTTATTCTTTATACCAAATGAAAATCTTTAAGAAAAATGTTTTATCTTAAAATAAGTAAACATCTCTTGAAAAAAGGTGTATTTGCCTTTAATTAGAGCAGGTGAGTAAGGTAAGGAACGAGGGTTTGGCTCCTAAAATAAGATTAATATAAATCCTGCACAACAAAATATGATGGATATTGATTTTTTTCTTAAATTCAACATTTTATTCCAATGAATATTTATTTTACTTACTCAAATTAAGTGCAAGTGAACTTATTTTAAGACAGCCTTTACTTTTAGTTCACTTTTGCAGTGAGCTTATTTAATTAGAAACAGCAAAACCAGGTTTTCTGCCCAGGGAAACACTATGCTTGCTTTTTTTTATTTAACCTTTTTTCTAACCGATTATAATCTAAACCTGATTAATAATTATATTTAATTAGAATTTAGTTTAACACACATGTAAATTTGTTAAACAACAAATAAATCTTTTTTTATGACTAAATCATTATGAACCTTAAATCGTTCCAAAGTTTAAAATTGTCATTAATGAGGTTGAATTAAAACTACAGACACTCATTAACTCCCAGAGTGGATGAAGATGGAGTAAGAATAGGTCGTTAGAAATGATGGCGATCACACCTGTGAGGCGTCTGAGAGTGTTTACCTTGTTTTCCCCCTCGATGACGATGACGGGTACGGAGGTGGCGGGCCAGCGGTGTTTGGCGGGGAGAGGCTTGTCGCAGTTCCACAGGACGATAATCTGAAAGAGGCAGACAAAGAAGAAAAAAAAAAGGTTTTTCCAGCTGTGTTTTATCACATTTAATCATCAGTTGCTGTTCCCGCCACAAGAGACCAAACCCTCCCTGCTTGTTGCCGCAGAACGCAGCGTTTATGTGGCCTGCGACCAGAAAATGTCACCTTGTTACGAGCTGATTTCATGTTAAAGAGCGGAAAAGGGCGATCCAAGTGATGAAATATTTCCCAATTATCATCGCGCAGAAGCTTTAACGTTTGGAGCGGAAACAGTCTTGCTCATGTTCCAGTCAGATGATGCGTCAAGTGCGGAGGTCGCGCTCCCAGCCGCGGTCGTGTCATGTTTTAGATGACTCACACAGCAGCGCAGCAACCTACAGGTCAACCTATTCACAGAGTTACAACAGCAGGACTCATTAATATTTAATGAGAAACACACACAGGCATCAACGGCCTAACAGAGACGCTTATATTCATGCAGCTTCATATTCTGGAGAGGAATCATGTGGAGACAAAGTCCTGCTAGTTAAAATAAAACAGCAGAATAAAAGTTGTGCTGTTCTTCATTTAAAAATGTGACAGAGTGGACGCCTAGTCCTCCAGGTCAGGGTGACACGGAGAGCTTAAAAAGATGCAAACTGGATTCATTTTTTCTCATTTCCTTAACAGGAAAAAAATAAACTTTTTTTGCTGTAGGTTTGCTGGAGTTTCACTGAGACGACAATCTGTTCTCATGTGCAGGAAAAAAGAACATGCAGAATCAGGATGTGTATTTTATAACATGAGTTTGATCTAAAATCATCAGATATAAATCTATTTAACTCTACATGCTAGTTATCATTTTCAGGATCATTTCAATTAGTTTTTTTTTCTTTAGTGTGATTCTTGCTCTCTGTTGTTTGGAGGTTTCCAGTTACTCTATGTAACCTTTTCTGTATCTATGGCTGATTGATTAATTTAATTGATTCGTAGGTTTGTCCCCTGTGTTCATTATTTTTAAGCTGAAAATACAGTTTAATGCCCTTTTATAACCCAGCTTAATTTGTCTTTATTTAACCTGTCAGAGCCTTAAGACGTAAAACTACCTGAACCAGAACTTGGTGAGCTTCTTATGTATTTCTATGATAGTTGATGGATGCAAGCTTCATCTTATCAAACTTATCCATAGAATGTCCATTTTTTCCAAAATCATGAAGTCAACCTGTTACACGTTCAGTAATATCCATTGTTGTGGGTATTGAAAAAAGACAAAACGAGATTCTACCTGAAAAATGCAGCAGAGTCAGTTCTGTCTCAGAGGAGAATATGCACCAAAGGAATAATGATCATAATGATTTGGGGGAAACAGGTTCTGACACTCATGGCGAATTGGAAATCCACTTCTACATCCCCCCCCTTAATCCCCTAATTAGAGTTGAGTGAAACTCTTCAGGTCATAGCAGCAGCAGCAGCAGCAGCAGCATCTCTTCCTGTGACTGTAGGTCTCTGAGCGTCAGCTAACACCTGCCCTGCTGAGATGTCCTCAAGCAAGTCTGTAAATTCACCCATCCTGGTCCATAGGTGCAGAGCTGGAGCTGTGATCCCAACGGAGGTGAACCACAGGAATTTCCCTGCAGCGATCAATAAAGCTTTGGATTACTCAGACACCGACTACGTCACACCGCGGCTCTGATCCCTGACTGGACCTGCAGGATAATGTGCTGACAGGTAATTGGAAGCATTAGAGGCGGCCTGGGCTGAGGTATTCCTACAGCAGCTGTGAGTTAATAAGCAAAATAAGACGATGATGTACAGCTGTTTGATCGATTGCTAAATCATCTCACTAGGAATAAAAAGAAAAAATATCCTTCATGAAGCTAATTGGGGTTTAAATATTGCTGTCAGAGTGAGATAACAGGTAAACTGTCTGCACAGATACACACAGATGAGTGTAAACGCGCCCATAGACACTTATATCACAGTTTGATTAGGGAGACAGATGGAGTCTCTGGGTGTTGACAGGAAGCATTGTCTGAATATGCTGGATAAATGGCTGAAGGAGGACGGTGGAAGACACTCCCAACAAAATGTCTGCACACAGGCAAACACGCTGTGGGGGGGCACCCAGTCAGAATGCGCTTCAAAACCTCTGAGTCGTCCAATTTAATCCCTTTCCTCTGCTTTCATTCTCCTCATTCAGTTATTTATCCCTGATCATAGCTCAGCAGCAGCACCTCTCAAGTGCTCCTCTTTTTTTGTGAACTAAGAGGAACAAATACCCCCCACAGCTGTGCACCATGCTCTCCACTCTGCCTGCGCAGCCTGGAAAAGGCAAACACAAAAGCCTCTCCATGACAGGGACTACCGGGGTGAACTGTACTTGTCTTTAACCACGTTAAAAACAAGACAAACATAACGTTTCGGTTCTTTTATTAGTCCAGCTCGCTGTGTTCATGGAAACACTGCAAACAGGGGAGCAACTACATATTTTAGAGGTGGATATGGATGCGTTTTATGTTGCATATTATATCAGGTACTTCCAAACAAACTGAACTGTAAAGTGTTTTAACAATATATATACTGTGCACCCAGAGAATAAATAACCAACATGCAGCTAAGGACATTTTTACAGTAATGAATATTTGAAAACAGCAGCAACATCAGAGATGTGCAGAATGACAGCAGCAGGTTACTGAACTGACCAAGGTTTATATCATTACATTTGCTTATATTTGTTCCTGCTCCCAGAGGTTGTCACCTTTATTCCACTCTGGATTCGCATGAGTGAAGTCTTTGTTCACTTTACAATAAAAATAAATAAATAAAAAGAAACAGTTTTGAAAAGTTCAGTATTAATTTTTTTCCTGCTTTGTGTGTCAACTCTCACGGTCGCTAAGCAACATAGCGTAAGGCGGAGAAATAAGCACGGAAAGCTAGACCTGTTTGAATTTACAGCCAAAACTCTTCCAGCCTCCTTATTTTCATGGACTTCGAAGGATCCGGTCCAGTTAGACCGGGTCCTTGGATTGGAACACAGCCGTAGTCTATGATTAAAAGAAAACACGTTCTCTTAGGGGCGTGTTCCCAAGCCACCTGTGTGGGAAAGGAGAGCGATATGAGGGGAGGTGAAGGATCAGAGGGGCACATAATCAGTGCCGCTATTCTGTTATTGATTATTTTATGCTGCAACATATAGAAGATGCCAACTAGAAATTTTTTTTTTCTACAGGGGGTTTTGACGCCCCCTCTAGTGCAGCGCCCCAGGTACTGTAACACCTCTGCCACATCTGAGAGTGGTGCTGTAAAGCTACCACAGAGGATAGTTATTTCACAGTAGGCATGAGAGTGTAACCAGAGGGAGAGAATGGTGACAACTGTAACGACCCGACACGATCCGTAACATCAGCTCATTTGTACAGATATACATCTGGGTTTTGATAAATAATGTAATTATGGTTTTAACATTACTTATTTTTATCCTTATCTCACTAAAGAATAATAATACACATCTTTAAAAAAATGTTTTTTGATTTTCTGAGACAATTTTGATGCTTTTTAGATTTTCTCTGTTAAACTGCTTGTCTGATGTCACCATAAGCTATGCTCATAGTAGCCTGGCAAAATATGATGAAACCATGTTTATCTGCATTTAAGTTTTAGTTACTCTATACCATAATGTTAACATGAAAGGAAAACATAAAACTCAAAAAGACTAGATTTATATTTAAATCAAAAGCCGAAAAAGTTAGCTCCCGGAAGTAGCGTAGGATTGGATTTTAATGCATTTATTTTCTCAGGAATACATTGTTAACCTTAAACACATTATGGTTTAGTAGGTTTACTATTTTGGGGGAGGAAAAAAGTAATTTAGTTTTTTTTTTTTTTACAAAGTAAAGTCGAGGCTGACCCGGATGTATAGCTGGTTGCATATCCACAAATAAGCTGACGGTACGGATCGGGTAGGGACACCAACTACAAAAGTTTGTGGGGACTGGTGCCTTTGAAAATCAACTTAAAAAGATATCAATCTAAAAGGTTTAACAGAATTTCCTTCCATTGAAACAGGTGCTAAAGCTGCAGATGGATCATAGTGCTACTTTCTTCCTATTGGTTTGATTTCATTTGCATCAGCAACGTTTTTAATTTTGCAAAGCATTTTCCCTTCTAGCATAACTCATGAGCTGTTTTTTTCCTGCTGAATTGCTTTAGGGTGAGTGATGTTATTTTACATCAGCAGTATTAATATTTCTGAGTGCTTTGGTACTTTCAGAAATGAAAAAAAAAAAACATTTATAAGAAAAATAAATCTTATTCTTTGGTGTAAGAACTGAAGTCTGGAAATGGAAATATACATTTAGCAGACTTTACATTCTGTCCTTTCTACAACCAATCTATTAATAATTTCAGTTCCTCCGTCCATTTCTGTTTGTCCATCCAGCTGTTTTTGCCTCTGTCCTCTGTCCTTCCATTCATTTAGTTTTTTCCAGATGTCTAGTTGTCCATCGCTCCATCCGTTTCTCCCCCATTAATCTATCTTTGCTCAGACTCTAAGTTGACATGGTGAAAGTCTCTTCCATAAATCCAGAGTAAAGGTTTATTGTTCCGTTTTTAAAAGCTAGTAAAAAGCGACAGATAACCCAGAGAGGTGGGGTCTGATGTTGTTGAGTTTTGACTCAGAAAATATTTCTCTATGGTTAAAAACCATAAATATTCAGTTGGACGGTCTCTCTCATGCACTGTGTTGCTCGCACAAATAAACCTAAACACACCAACACTCATTCCCACAAAAACACCCTCCACCATCCAGAAGCAAATTCCATTTCATTTCCCGCTTCGGTCTGGAGAGAACAGGGAAATCAATACACGCCATCTCCAGCTGTGCAGAAAGGAGTCTTGGCTGCCATGGAGACAGATGTACCCCGGCTACAAACTGCTGCTCTAATTCAATCCTCCAGAGTTAATTCACAGCACACATAAACAGAGGATGAGCTCTGCTATCGCTCTGGTTGGAAAACACAATTGTGGAGCGGGACGCGCAAACCGCATGATGCAGTGCAGGTGTTTGAGTCTCCGGATAAATGACGGCAAACATTTACCTGTGCACAGTACTGGGATTTGGCCACAGCTACCAGCAGCTTCAGTATGGGTTGGGACTGGGACACCAGCGGGGAGACGGCGTGGATGACTGCAGTGAACTTAGGGTACGGTTTAATACCTGCAACACAAGAGAAACACAATCAGCAATGATCTTAAATCAAGTTTGAAAGCTTACAGACGGCGACTGTCAGGCATCAGAGTAATTAAACTGTCTGAAAATCTAAAGAAGAACTGAAGGTTTTCATTCTCAAACCTTTTACATCTATTTTCAGTGGAGAAGAGGCTGTCAGCAGGAACAAATGAGGAGGGTTTTAACCGACAGGAAGGAACAGTTTTCAAAACAGCCTTTAAATATTCAACATTGTTAATGTGTTTGGAAAAACTCTGCATCTCTTGATCACTAAATATTCCATCTGCTGATTTCTGCAGCTCGATAAACAGACAACCGACTGCTGATGTGACTTTAAATTCAGCCCGACTTCCTGCTGGAATAGAGTAATCGAAGCCGAAAATACAAAAAAACAACAAAAAAAGGGGAGAGAAGACTTGGAGGCAGACGGATCATAAAGGGCGTCCAGCGTCTCCTAATTTAAATCTAATCTAACCCAAACCAGCAAAGCATGGCAGGGAGGAGATAGCATTACACGATGCTCTCCTCCACGCAATTTATGTGGAGATTCAAATATGCAGTTTTCAAACTTTGTGAACTGCACCGTTTTTAGTATTTTTAAGCAGAAATATTTAGTCTTCAGTGATCCTACAATCTGCAGGCATGAGGCTGACCTGGAACGTCGTTATGAGACCCTGAACAGAACCTGCAGACCGTTTTTCTCTGGCTGCCTATTCTACATTTTAGATGCACATGCTGTTTTCTGCCTGTGGCACATGATACTCAGTGGCTTTTATCATCCTCCATGAGCACATTAGACTTCTCCCTTTCTGAAAGTTTGCAAAAACACTTCAGGCTGCTGGGAGGCAGAAACATACGTTTGTACTTTTGGGATGAAGTTGTTATACAGCATGATAAAATGGTCGCTGATCTTCAACACCTACAGCTGGTGACTTCATAAAACAGAGTCTGTTTGCTGTAAACTTCATCCTAGGAAAACAGCTGAATTACCTTCCAGAAATATGATGCCCTTTCACACAAACTTTAATAAAGATTTGGGTATTAAATAGATCAACACTAGGGAGAGCAAAGTTTTAGTTTTCAGAAAGCCGGAAATATACAGAGCCCCTTTCAATCGGATACCCCAAAATAAAACCCAAACAGCCGCCTTGAGAAGCCATATTGTCAATAGAGCCAGGAGGCTCATGGAGGAGCTATAGAGAGACGTGGAATAGTTATAGGTTTTGTAATCTTAAAAATGAGCCTTCATAGAGAAGAGTTAAGAGGAAAGCAAAGTCAGGAGAAATTCCCATTTTGCTTTGAGGAAACTTCTAACAAACCAAACGAGTCTCCCTCTCTGCTCCATGGTGCTGGTTTCCCTGCTGTGTTTCTCCCTCTGCTGCTCGATCCATTCATCTCCTTCCTCCTTCTGCAGGATGGGAGGTTCTGTTCACCTGTGGTGGGATTTTTTTCCACTCACAACCTGTTCTGGGATCAGCCTGATTTTTGCCTCAATTGTTTATTAGTTAGGAAGCAGCCTGAGGTTAGGCCTTCAATTAAAGATTATCTTGGAAATTAATGAATGTATGGATCATTTTTTGGATTCATAGATTAATAGTCACATAGCAAAAGGTTCCCTAAAGAAGATTTTTAACAGATTTAAACCAGATGAAACTAAAACTTTTCCATTAAAATTCTGGATGGAGCAAACAGACAGACGAAACTGTTTAAAAAAAAATCTTAAATGTTTAAGATTCTCTATACTCCAATTAAGAAATAAATTACTAAATTGATGATTATTTCAATTAATCACAATTTATTATTGAAATAATTTATTAATCAGATTAATTATTTCAGCTACCTGAGTTTGTTAAAAGGCGGTCCAAAAATGTTTTTTCGTACAGTAAATTTTTAATAAAGAAATGACTGATTGAGTGAGAGAATATGCTTTCGATTTTTTGGATTCAAATGAAAATATTTCTCATATATTTTTGTAAGTTCTTATTTTCAAACTAAGCTTGAAAACATACAAACAAACTAAAAACCCAGAGGATCACTGATCCTCTCACTAAAGTCTGGGAAACCCTGGGTTACTGATCTCAGATTTTGAGGTTTATCTTTGGAAATTCTTTTTTTTTTTTATTTTATTCGTTTATTTGATAGGGACAAGTATGTTTCATGAATCATGTCACACACTACAACATTTTAGCTAAGGCTAATTCTCAATGCCTGTCCCCAGTTAGGCTTTTACACAAAACACAGTGACTGTACACAAGAAACAACAGAAGAAATTACACACTGAAACATCACAGAAACAAGATCAGGTCAGTTAGATTATTAGTGTTTAAAGTTTAAATTTAGCTTTTTTAAGTCTCTCAGTCAACAATGCTATCTGGCCTCTCCAGTGTGACTCGGGGTGTTAATATGCATGACAACAACCTTGGTAGTTTGTTATTGGCTCTTTGAGAGGGAGAAGAAAGTCTGTTAGAAAGGAATGATCTGTCTTTGGTTTCACACATTTACCCATCAGTGACAAGCCACTTTGCCTCCTAAAAGCCCATCCGTGTTTAATTGCTTCCTCCTTGACAAACAAATTCAGTAGCAGCCATTGTAATCCCTGCCTGTCACCACATCCATCCATTTTCATAACCGGAGGCAAACCTGGCTGCTTCATCAGCCGAGTTCATTCTGCTGCTGCCTGTCTGTGTGTGTGCAGCAGCAGTCGATGATGATGGAGTGAGGAAGTCAGGTTGCAGATACGTGGCAGAGGGGGAAATATTGGCGCTTCTGAACCATAGCGGCAGGAATTTGGTCTCAGCAGTGACGGCAGCAGCAATGCTGGCTTTAAAACCAGTGATGGACGGGGTGGCGTGTCAGCAGAACTAATACAAACATCCGTCACGGGCCCATTGGTCCACTCCACTTGCTGCCCGACACAGCCACTGGAGGAGCAGCAGGTCGGTGTGAAGGTTATTGTTATGCTGCCAATCAGATTTAGTCCAAGAGACAACCGTCTCCTGTTTCCTGAGAAAACATTCACTCCTTGGTCACAACCGTATTTAAAAAAATGAACACCCAGGTCTGGTCAAAATATGCCTTTATGAGAAACTGTGTCGTAATCTGATGAAACTAGGTTGAACTTTCCAAAGCTGATAAAACACGACTACAGAGAAACACGGCAAGGGTAGCGTTATGGTTAGGGACTGGTTTTAGTCACAGTTTCAAAGCAGCCAACAGAATGGAACAAAACCTGTTGTGTCTGAAGATGTAAAGGAAAATAACACGGACTGGATGACTTCAGCAGAAGAAAGTTTTAGAAACGCTATGGTCCAAAGATAACGTTTTAATTTGAGCCAAATCAAATCCAATAGTTCCTAAATTTTGAATGCTCATCCTGAAAGACCTTCTCTTCAGGAATTGTTTAAAGCGTCTCTAAAAGGTGCAAGGCTCGGCTAGAATTTTTTTACTTGTTTTTTGTAAAGCTAGAAGGCTGAATTGTCCAATGGCGGTTTGAGGAATGAAGACATTTTTCATTAGAGGTAATGTAGGAACTATAATAATCGACTATGAAGACAGAAACATGCAAACTTTGAGCAGCTCCCATTTCCAACACACTTTTTACCCCCAATGGATGAATAATGCAGGATTTATTTCACATTAAAAGTGAATTCATTAATTATTTTGTACAGTCCCAGGTATTATGTTATATTTATAATGTGCTTGAATATTTTAGAGAGACAAAATATTTACGTTTCTGCAACAAAAATAAAAAAAAAAGTTCTGCAAGTTGGCAAAAAAGGGAATGTAGGTAAACTGTGTGACGACTGCTTGACGGCTTAGTGCTGCTCTGATATAGTGTTACTGACCCAATGTGGCGTAGTAGAACGGGAAATCTCCCAAGTAGCCCGAATACTGCGGCAAGGCAAACAGGCCTCCAGGGTGACTGTTCCACATCAGGCTGCTCCTGGAGCCGTCCTCCAGCACTCGGTCCTGGATTATCTGCACACAAGAAGGAAACCAGGTAAAGACTTCAGGAAGAAAACCGCTGAGCTCAGTTTTAACTCTAATCAGGCTGTAGGTAACACGTCTTTGTTGGTGTCAAGCTTCCTTTTCTACGCTGCTTCACAAACTCACCCTGATTACTATTATTGTTTCATGCTGTTCGCTTTTTAGGGAAATCTAGTTTTCAGAAATAGGATGATTAGAAACTAGGACTCCGATAAAGTCGGATGATAAAAAAAATTTTTTTTTTAGAAGCTGCATCTTTAGTAGACCTAAAAAAGAGATTTATGCTTTAAAAGAAAACTGTTATTTCTTTTTGGTTTGAGTCTCCGAAATTACCTTTTAATCCGCAAGGTTTCCTGATCCGTTCAGGCAGAAACCAACACTAAACTTCCCCTTCACTCATTTAACAGCCGTCCCAGAGAGCTCATAAAAAGGAGAATTATACGAGTGGATAAAAGATTGATCGTTAGCCTCTCAGATTACAATGTATGAAATCATAAAGGATTTTTATCAATGAGCCTTGTAATCACACCAATAAAACATTTCACACAGAGAAGAGTTTCCACACAACAAGGAGGTGAAGCTGATTCTCAGACTTTAATGAATTTTAGAGCAGCTTTAGCTGCCTCGGTTCAGACAAAGAGCACAAACCGTTTTCCAAAGGTTATATGACAGCTTTAAAGTGAAGGTTCAAGTAAAGAAGCGATCAAACTGGGTTACTATAGAGATAGGTAGCTATATTTCAAGATTTTGTCTTTTAAAGTCTCTTGTGATCAAAATGTTTATCATTATGTCTATAAAATAAATCAAGCAGTACAGTTAAAATCGTGTACAGTTAGTATAAAACACATTCATTTAAATAGAGCAAGATGTAGTGAGTTAATCCTGGAGGCCATGCTTCCTTTACATAATAAATTACAGAATTACTTACAACAGGCTGTAAAACAAATAATTTTCTCCTTTAAATGAGCTTTTCTGTAGTATAATCGTTCCTGTAGTATAAGCTGATCTAAGCTAATTAGCATGTAAACGCCAGCATGACTGAGGTTTTTTAGTTTGATGATGTCTGGGTGATCAAATTCTGACAAAAAAAAACATCATATGTTTTCCTTTGGGAGTTTATAATGAAAATATAAGATTAAAATCTTGCAGAGAAAGTTATTCATCAAATTAAATGTTTATATTGAAGTCTAGTTTTCTTTATCGCCTACGTCTCTCCATCTATTTCTGTCTAGACTTGCTTATCATGTTTTGATTGCTCAAGAAATAAGTGAAAATGTTGGCAAGGAGATTAGAAATTATAAAACAAGAAAAACAAGAATTCCTTTCCTTGGTCCACTGGCTCTATCAGGGAAAAAACCTTCCTAACATTCCAACAAAGTTAAAAAAGTGAAAAACAAAAACAAACCCTTGGACTTTGTTTTCCAAGTCTGAAGACGTTTTGCTTTTGATCCAGGAAGCTTTTTTAATTCAAAATGTCTGGAATGGCGTTGAGTTGCAAGCTTTATAGAGTAGCCCAACAAAGCCTTGTTATGGCTTAGAAAACAGTCAAATTGAACCGGAGAACAGGTCCACCCCTTAGTAATGGGGAGTGAAAAGGGGAGTCGTTGTTGGCCTGGCTGATGAGGCGAGTTGTTTTGGTTCCCTGCAAGGCGATGTGGTTTGAGATGATAGCTGGAAGGAATTAACACTATTGCTGCATTGTCAGTTTTTCAGAGCTGAGAGAACCTTCCCTGTTTAAGGTTGATTTTTCTCTTAACATAAATGGCTTCCTTCACATTCCTTTCAAAACTATCATCCGGATGACTGAGAATCTTCTCCACCAAAACCTTACCCTAACATTTCCTCTGTGAGGGAAGAGGAACCAGCTAGATGTTCAGTCATTCTGGCCCACATGTTATGGTTTCAGCCATCATAAAACATCTGCTCCACCTCTGGCGTATCTAGAACTTTTTAATTGGTGACAACAAATTTATCTTGGCCATTCTTCATGAATACCAACTCTGCGCCCTTCAATACGGCTCAACTAACTTTTTATCTTTTCCTTCAGGAACGGCTACGTAGAACAGTTAGCATAATATTAGCGTGGGTGCTGTTCAACCAAAGTGAGTCATGCTGAAAATCAGGGGTGCAACAATACATCAATCCAGATTCCAGTATGATTAAATGATTAATGATCCAATTACAGAGATGTAAAAATAGAAACATCAATACACAGTCTTCCCTAAGATCTGCCTTTGTTTTGTAATGCAAAAGGCACAAGACTATAGTGAGATGGTGATCTATTATTGTTTTTCTACAATTGGAAGAATGCTTTAGAGATCTTTTATGTGGGTTGATATTAGTAGAAACATTCATCACAGTCTTGTGAAGTCTTGACAGACTTTGTGAAATCAGCAAATTAATAAAATCAAATCGATATAATGTGGTATCGTGATAAAAGCTGCAGGTTTACAGCCCTAAGCTTACCTAAAGTTTCCTATATCATAGTTTCATAGTGCTCCATAGTTTCTCCTCCACTTATCCAGAGGATTTCATTCAGCAACCTTGTTTGCATCATTTCCGTAGTTTTCTACTGAGAAACACTGAGGTGGTCAACTTAAGTATGAACCTGTTGGTCCTGTGAAAAACGATTAAACCTGACGTTTAACTCAGATGTCCTTGAGAGAAGGTGAAAGGTGGACATACGCCGGCAAAGATGGATGTTTGGTTTCCCTATTTAAACATTTATTTAAACGATGCAACTTTAATTTGAAAATAACCTCAGATCTTAATTATCAGGTGACTAATCAGACTAAAATAAATTAGCATAATAAGCTAATGTAACCAGGTTATATGACTACTTTGTTATAAATAAAAAAATATGTTTTCTTACCAACAGTCTACATGTCACCTGAACACTCCATCTATCCAGAACATGCAGCTTAAACCTTTCCACTTCATTTCTTCTTCTTTCATATTCTTTTGTAAATTATCTCCTTTGTTATGTATTTTGCAATCTATATAACTGCAGGTTAAAATTGTAAGAATAGCTTAGCTTTGCACCACCTTAAAAGCAGCTATTGATGGCGTTGAGAGTAATATGTTGCTGGCTTGCCTCACCAAGTGAAGTCAAATTAAACGAGTTCTCTGGTTATAATATTTCCCAAACGGGTCAGATCATGGAGCAAGAAGAATGTGTGCCGATCAGGCGGGGGGGTCTCAGCTGTAGTGGGACAATGCAGACAGAGTTGTCAGCTGTATCTAAGCATCAGTCTGTCAAGCCTGCCTCAATACTTTCTCGGCCCAAATGGAGCAGTCAGTCAAACGATCCGACGGGAAAATGGGCACGATTTTCCTCCGCTGAAGCTTGTAGACGCCTTCTGCTGAACAGGCAGGCGGAGGATGAGAGATATTGCTGCTGTGCCCTTGAGCCAAGCTAAATTGCTTCAGTAAAACAGACACAGGTTTGTGGCCATGTTTTATAGCAGCTATTGAATAAGGAGGTGCCTGGCTGTGGCGAGGAAACTCAAAAGGTGAATATATAGCCCTGAAAAGAGACAGAGAGAGCTTTGTGAATGCTGTTCGCACTTCAGAGCTAATAATACAGAGGAAGAGGACGGTGCTGGACTAACTAACAAAGCAAAATAAAACGTCCTCAGAGGGGAAGTGATGTGAGGAAAGAGAACAACAGCACAGTGTAAGTTTCTTTTACTTTTCCGAGCTCTGTCCCCTGGGGGCCAGTCGATAACGGTTCGCTTCAGTAGAACAGATTACCTAAGAAACCCGTCGACTTCTCTATAAAAAAAGCCCCGGCTGCCACCTTCAAACCCCGCAGCCCTTTACACCTTATGACGGGCAATTCTGCTCGCTTGGCTGCAGCTCCTCCCCCGTCGGCGGCCCTCAGTCGGACATGATGGACGACTCAATCTCACCTCAGAACAGCCACCATCAACCAATTACAGCGTGACAGATAAATCCTGCTTCTGTGGGAGCACGCTGCGGACCCAGCTTTAATTGGTGAGTTTAATGGCTGTACCGGCAGCACGGCTCTGATGATACCGTCCTTGTGATTGGTTGAAATGCTGCTGTCCCTGACAGAAAACAATGCATGATGGGTTAACTTTTATTAGCTCGCTGCTGCAAAATACCAGGTATAGCCTTTATATTGGGCTACGCTGATGAGCTGCAAGATTTAGCCCCTATTGTCATTGAATCAGGGTTAAAATAAATAAAGAAATAAGTTAAAGTAATATATGGTGGAAAGAAAAACACAATTAAAGTAGCGTGGCATGAACGGGACAAGCCTTGATTTGTTTGTATTTTTGTTCAGGTGTTTTTCTCCCTATTGATAATATTCCACAGAAAGATTATATAAGCCATTCAATAAAGTTTTTTCAGTATAGTGGAAACTACTACATTTTCTTGTAGATAGCCGTTCATATTAAAGTTTTTCTTAATAGTTCAGTTAATTTTTTCCTCCTTTGCTTTCCTCTAGACTTTTTCCCTCCATCTAACTTTAGCACTAATTTGCTGAGTTGCAGCGGTCTGAAAAAAAATCCTTTTTTTGTGTTTTTTCCTTATTGTGGAGGCTCAAAGTTATACTCACCTGCACAGAATTAATAAGCAGTTTTCCCATAAAACTGTGGTAGTGTGAGAAGAACTGATTTTTAATAGCTTTCATGTAAAACAGTAAATGTCTGACCGAAAGAATTTTAGCTAACTTCACTTGTAAGAAATAAATGCTTAATATGCATTAGTATTTGTTTAATAAATTACATTTTTTAAATGATATTCTAATTAACGAGGATGCATCTGTAAATGCTTTGCATCCACAGATCTTAGCTGAATATGCTTTCGCCTCAGAACTGCACAGCATAATAGGTAGAAATAATCGGAGCGGCAGATTGTGCAGATTCACTTACACAAACCTACAATGTCACCCATCATCTGCAACCCAATTTAAATATGTCACCTGTGCTCCTTTTTGCTCTTTCTTGCACATCCTTCTCTCTATCCCTCCCAGCACCATTTGCTTCAGGACATTTGGTCAGACTGAGTTTTTTTTTTTAAGCCATCAGTGCATTTAAAACAAACAACCATTAGTTGAGTGAGTCCAAAGCTGTCTCAGTGTCACCTTGCACTTCGGAGCAGAGTGATGGCGTGCTATGCTTGGGTGCAGCCATGTGCGTCTGGACGTCTTAACATATGAAGACGTTCGTTTGACTCTGTGTGATGGGTCGCAGGGAGACGGGGCTTTGTATCAAACATACCAAACATGTTGAGCCAGATCAAAAGTTTGACTTTGAAGCTACAGCTTGTGTTTTGTCTTTCAGGAGTGGGTGGAAATGGGAAGTTTGGATAAAGGGTTTGAGTAGTTGCAGTGTTCAAAACCGTAGCTTTGGCAGCAATGTGGATTCAAAAGAATGAGAAAAGGAAAACATCTGGAAGATTACAAACAGAAATGAAGGAAAATGTACAAGGCACTAAACCTTCACTCCTTTTTTCACAGAGACTTGTTTTGTCAACTGTTCAAATCTCGTTTAAAAGTCAGAAGCAAACCTCTAAAGAAATCGTGAGAAAACCTAAACAATGAATGATTAAGAGCACTTAAACAACAAAAAGAAATTCAGGATGCTTGGTGAAAAAAGGCTTTTCAGAAAGTAGGGATGAACCAGGACATCTGCTCATTACTTCATGACTTGTTTAGAAAAACATAAATTCAACCTGATTTGATGTGGATGTCCACAAGAAGCAGTTTTTCAGAGCACACTGTCAACCAAACGGGTTCCTGCTGTTGCAGTTCAGCTTTGGAGCAAAAGCAGATGCAAAAGGGAAACAGAAAAGGGAAAATTGGACTAAAACGTGGAGCAAGAAAATGTTCGGTGGTGCCGGTGTACGGCGCTTCTGTTAGCGAGCCCCAGGGCAGCTGTGGCTACAATGTAGTATTGCACCATCAGTGTGTGAGTGAATGACTGAATTTAGTGTAAAGCGCTTTGGTCAAGTCTCCTACCTATATAAGCAATATAAAAGTACAGGCCATTTCCCCAAATAATTGATTAAAATGCTAAAATTATATCCACCACATGAAACTCCAACCAAGAAAAATTCCATTACTTAACAGAGAAAGCTAAAAGTTGAATTCCTGCCAGTCACCAGGTACCCAAATGCTAACTACAGGTTATCTGTCCAGAAGGAAAGCACAAACCTCCAGTTTATTTCTAAGCCCCTTTGCTTCCTTAAGTCAGTACCAATTCTCTAAAGTTTGACTGATATTCACACTCATTTTGCTTCTTTCTTGTTCTTTTTTCTCAATTCTATCAAAGAGCTACCAGGAGCTGGCAGTGCCTGAGCTCTGTCTCAGGTTACTTCAATCACCTCTTGATGCAAAATCTGTCAACACTGAAAAAAGAAATTATTTTTTATGTGCTTTAAATGGGTCAACATTCAGTAAAGTAAATATTTTTACTTTGCACCATTCGGAAAGTTCTATAGATGTATTATTGTTTTTTTTTAATCTACTGAATTCAGCTACGACCTGGGCAGAGATTAGGAGCTAATTTAAGAGTTTTCAGCAGAAGACCTCTAAATAAGTTACATCAGAGAAGCTGATTGTTGACGAGTGTTTATAAACGACAGGAATAAAACAAAAATAAAACAATAATTTAGATCATTGCTTTGCAGTAACCTGACTACTACTCTGCCTCATCTAAAATCCTATAAACTTCTTCCTTCTCATTGTATAAAAAAAAAAAAAATCGGCTTATGTTACACAAAAAAACAAAAATAGATCCACTGGAAATGTGTTAGATACACCAAGACACACTATGAGGGGAATGGCATTACCAATTTTGCACATTCATATACCTAAATCTTTGCTGGTTCTTTTTGTATAATAATTTAAAATCCGTTAGACTGGGAGGGTTGGCTTCTTTAAGCGTTATTTTCTTCTGCTTCTGTCTGAATTGGATTCAACTCTAGATTATTCTAAGCTTTGACAATAACCATTTTATTGCATCTGTCTGCAGTTGTTCTCCTTGTTTGAGGCCTTTGGCAGTCACCAATCTTTCTATCTGCATTGCCCATGTTTTACTCCATCCATGTCCTCAGGAACTAGACACAGATTTCCTGATCAAGAGAAGCTCTTCCCACAGTATGATGACACCTCCACCCTGTTTAACAGCAGGTAACAGTGAACACAGGAGTAAATACTGTATGGTGTTAGCTCTCCCTCACACATGAAGGTCATAACCTTTAGATTTGGTTTCATCTGATGAGAGCCTCCTCTTTCGCATGTTGACTCTAATCCCCACATTGTGAGAAAAACTGAAACTTAAACTAGTGTTTTTTTCCCCACTCTTGTATAAAAGCCAGGTATGTGTGGTATATTAGCTGTCCTACTGATGCCTGCTCCTCTAATCAATCCTCACATGGTGTGTTCATGTGGACCGTCATGTCTTGGTAGGATTTGCAGCTGTGAAATACTGAACAGACCTCAATGAGAGATTCAAAGCATAGATTTGTTTTTAAGTGGAAAATTTTCTCCATGACCTTAGTGGTCATTCATATACAATAAAATAAATACAGTCCTTCATAAGTACTCTTGTCTTGTGAATGACCCTGAACCGTGACGCTATGAGGCACAATCAGACCCATCAACCTCCACAATCACTTATCTTTCAAAGTACAGGGACAGAAGGTTTTAATCTAGGATAAGAACGTCATGTTCAGAACCTTTTTTCTCAGAAAATATTTCTGACTTTCAAAATAATAAGAGTTTTCTTTTAAAACTGATAATCAACCTGCATTTTACGGTGTGACTGGCGAGACGTCATTTTATCAACCTGAAAGAAAGACTTTATGAAAACCTCAATGAAACCCATTATTCAAATTTAGGATGATTTGAAAAATGTAAAAACTCTTCATACAGAAAACCTTCAATTTTACTGACTTGATTGGCAGTGATGTAAACAAGTTTGGAGCAAAATAGGATTTAAGGGACACTGGATTAAATCCTTCCAAATGATTCATTTTTAAAATTTCTCAAGATTATCATGAAACCAAAACCTCCTCATTTATTTGACAGTGAGGATAACAACAATGCACTATTAATGTTTTTGGGAATGAAACTCAAATACATTATAAATGAAAAGGTTAGATCACATTAATAGAATTTGTAAGACATTTTTCATTAAAATGTGAAGGATTTTTATTCCATCCTGGCCTGTTATTGTTACTGAGTCTGCAGAGACACTAAAATCCCTCTAAGATGGTGAAAAATAAAGAAGCAGAGCACAGGAGGACAAAGAAGGCCAAAAGAGCAGGCAGCTTTGTGTACGTAGCAAGTTTAGATGTTTGCCTCCACTCCTCACCTCCAGTGTGGTCAGCACTATCTTCTCCACAGAGGAGAAGTACGCCTCCCAGAGGAACTGAGTCTGCTGTCTGAGGGACAGGATCTTATCCTGGTGGATGGAGCGCACGGTGGTAGGAATCTGTAAAACAAACAGCGCTCCGGTAAAGCTCAGCACAGCACACACTGCCAGACACAGGCAGGACATTCAACAGATTAAATAACTGCTAAAGAAGGTCAAACATACATCCACAATAACATTTCATTTTTAGCAGTTTGTAGAATAATTCAGATAATCTGAAGAGAAGTTCATTCTAATAGCACCAATGTTTACCCATGAAAGTACATAGAACAAATTAGCTAAAGTACTTTGAAGAATCTTTATCTTTTTTTACCCTGAAGGCAGATTTTTCTCCTAATAAAATTAGATCAAACAATTTGTTTTATAAAATTTTTGTTTAACTAACTAAGGATTCATAATAACAACTAGGAATCTTCTATTTCCTAGACAGCAAATTGTTAGCTTGATTACTAGTCATAATAACTGAACATACAAGTCAAGCTAGGAGGCTAGGTAGCAGATTGTTTTGCTAAATCTGCTACCTAGTTGTTAACTTTACTTTTAATTGCATGGCTTTAATCAATAGGTTGTATTTATTTATGAAGCTAGCTTACTTTGCCATGTCCAGAGTTAAGTTTCATGTGTAAAACATTATGTGCAAAAGTCCAAAATATGGGGGCTAATCAAGAAATACACTGTTACTATTCTGGGAGAGTTTAAATCCCAATAGTGAGTATTTCCTTTAAAAACTTCAGTATTCAGCGATTCCATAAAATACTGCCTCCTTGTGGTGAGGCAGGAATATTATACCGTTCTAAGCGTTGCTACTAGTGGCTTGTGCACCAAAATCGTAAAGTAAAGACCTTTTGGAAAATAACTAAATTGATTGCCGTCTCGCACACAGGGGCTAGACAGAGCGTGTGCTGTAGCACCTACTAGCTAACATGCATGAACAGGAACATTGAGTGAAGGTTAGTATTGAACAGATTTGGAAAACTTAGATGCAACTTGGGCTCATTCTGACGAGGATCTCAATAGCTGCTGTGAAAAAAACCTTAAATAATAAGCGTCTTTCTCTCAGATAAATTGCTAATGAGGCTGTTTGACAGTAAACTGCACAGTTGCAACATTAGACTTAGATTCATCTTTATTTATCCCTATGGGTTACTCCTTCAGAGAAATTCTTTTTCAAGTAGCTTACGTAAAGTAAAAAGGGCAGAGTTAAAGCAAGATGCCGTTTAAGATAAAAATAAGACAATATAAAAAGAGTTGATATAATACAAAAAAAAAAAAAACATAAGTTGTAATATCCTAGTTTGTTTCTATTGTATATTAAATATCTTAACAGTAAAAAGCTAAGGAAAGACTACATAATTGACTTGGATTATTGCACTTGGATTGACTTGGACATGTAGATTTATTATGGAGAAAATATGATAAGAATGTAATATATCATGGTTCAACTTAATCGATAGAGCTTTTAAATTGTTGTGTCATCAACACAAAAAGAGAGGCTAAGCAGTTGGTTTATTAAAGCACCTATTAGCTTAGTTGCTTTAGCAACAGCCTAACAATCCCATACCTTGCTGCAGGGGGCTGCAAGAAACCTGGATCAGACCAAAAATCAAATGGCTATTTCAGCTGCTCTAGAGGAACTGCCTTAAGAGATAACTATTTTATAAGTTTTTTTCCACTTGTTTTCCTCTCTTCAAGGCATGTACTTTAAAAACCTGTAAAATGTACCAAAAGTTTATGAAACTTTAGGATTAGCCAGAAGTGCATGGAAGGTCTTCGTATCACAAGTAAGTGACAGAAAATAATGACCATGGATTTTTATGCATCTGCTTTTTCCACCTTTAAGATGTTGATGCTTGAAGCAGCAGGTGAATTCCCATCAGTCAGGATCCGGCTCTGGTCAACATCAAGCCTTCATTTTTGTAACTTCAGGTAGGCTTTGGCATTTTGGAAAATACTTTAATTTGCTTTTTAGCTGTGAGCGGGATGGCAGGATCAAGCCTGCTTCCACATCTGAGTGGCGACTCTGAGGGGTTCACTTACTGCTCATCCAGGTCTCAGCAAGAAAACTAATGAGGATGTTTACTGAGACATCAGATGTCACCTTCGAATTTGACCCCATCAAGTGTAAAGAGCAAACCAGCAGCTACACACTGGTTTTGAAAGAAAAAAAAGTAGCTTTAAAAGGAGATGTTATTTTGGTGAAAAAAAAGAAACTAATGGATTATTTAAATAAAAGGAACCAAAAATATTCTTTGTTTTTAAGAAAATGCTTTTCATAAGCAGCATTTTGCATATTGTATGATAATAACTACTAATATAGTCATCAGCCTCCTATACTTAAATATCCCAATAATAATGTGGTTATTTGTTCTGCCTCTATTATATCTGAATTCATAGCAGCCATCTGAAGAATATTCCAGGATGATTGAAGCACATTTGGTGCTGCACACACCGAGCGCCCCATGCCAAACAATATGATCACGTACTTTATTCAAATTAAGATTTAATGGGCATATAATTACTTTTCTCCCCATGAAGCACAGGCAATTCCCACCAAATTCATTGGCCTGGTCTGCTTATTTGCCCTCTCATAACAAATTGAAGGCGCTGAGAGACATTTTGAGGGACTCTGTATGCTGCTGGAGTTTTCGTGTCTCTCATAGGCACCTCATCTTAAAACCAAACCTGGATTTAGAGCCTCGGTTTGGGTTAGTCTACTGATTTGGCATGGTTTTTTTTATTTTTTATTTATCAGGTGGCACCCCCGGGAGAAGGGGATAGAGCTGCGAGGGAGCCGTTACCTGCAGCAGGAGCCTCTCGTCGCCGATGACTGCGGCAGTGTTCCAGTCGATGATCTCTGAAAAAGGCAGCTCCCAGCCGTTGCTCAGCATCACCGGCACACATGCAGCCTGAGACACACAAAGAGGGAAGCCTTCATTTCTGAATCTGTTATATCTACATAACTTTCTGCAAAACAAGCTTCCCCAGCTTGTATGGAAGCTTAGGGTGAATACTTATTATGAAGCAAAAAAAATGTTTTTTTATATCAGCAGGCATCAATATTAAGCAAACATTACGTATGCATCAATGTTGCAGGGATCATAGTAACTCAATATACAAGAAAAAGACCCCTGACCGCAGGATCCCAGCTCCTCGATAAACAAAAATAAATGTTCAGTCAAGATAAAGATCAGAGTAATATATAGGCAGAGATAGAAAATATGGAAGATTCATCTGCTGATATGCTAGGGTGCTTTATTTGCAATGAAAATAAAAGAAATGAAAGGCAGCGTGATACAAACCAAACCTTTGATCAACTCTCACAAAATCAAAAATACACTAAAAGAATTTCTTAATTATTTGTTTGGCATCTCTTTAGTTGATTTCTAAAATATCTTTAATCATTCAAAAGCCTCCAAACATTGAAGGAGTAGAGCGCGCTCAGAGGGCCTGAATCCTTTGAACCTAATATCGAGTGTTCATTCAGCCTTTGTGTTTGCCTGTTTTCTTCTTTTTTTTTGCCACATCAGTTTGAAATGGTAACATCAGGAGCGGCAGAGTTTATTACTCAGAGGTGGTGAGCTGCAGGAATGATAAGGAGAAATGGGAGTTCAAAAATGAAAAAAAAAAAAGATCAAAAACGGCAAAAGAAAGTGGATATACAGACATAAAAAAGAAATAGATGAAAAAGGGCAGATAGAGAGGATGAGTGTGACCTTTGGCAGAAGGATGCAGGGAGCAGGTGGTGTGTGTGCGTGTTTGGTAGTTTGATGTAATGACAGCCCTGTCACTCCTGGGTCATAAAGGTGTCAGCTGGAGCTGAGGTGGCCCCTGGGCTCCGGGCACGCAACCGGACACGAACGCATCCACAGCAGGAACGCCTCGACCTCAAAGAAGAACGGCATTCGCATGCAAAGCTCAAAAGCCTGCACACTCGGCACCCTTCATCTTCAACGGCAGGGTGGGAAACTGATGGATCATGTGAGTCAGACAAATGGAGAAAGGAGAGAAAAGGGCATATTTCACTCTTGAGTGAAGTGCGGCGTGTCTCTCTGTCCCTGTGTGTGTGTGGCTGCTGATAGTGAGATAAGCACACTTCTGTGGGTGCGCTCTGTGGACAGAAGTGCTTGGAAAGGAGAGGTAAAGGACAGTGCAGTGGTGCCGCAGAAGAGTTAGAGAAATGGATGAACGGACACGTAGAGGGAGATAAGTGATGCTGGAGGAAGAAAAAATGATTCATCTGATTCCAATAACAGAAATGAGAGCCGGATTTTCGCCTCTAATCCTGTGCAGGTTCTACCTAATCTAAAGAAGCTCAACGCTGCACCATTCACTGCTATAAGGTGTGGAGCTCCTCCTACCTGGGTGGCACACCATGTTAGCTGCATAATAAAATAAACATTTCAATTCTTATCTTTACAGGATGCCAGAACTCTTAATTCCTCCAAATAAAACATATTTAAGCCTATACCTTTATTTTGCTTCAAATAAGTTGCTTCAGTGTCTTGCTAAAGTACCTCTTGAGCATTTTTATCCTTGAACAAAACATCAACAGGTTTATATTTTTTTATAGACTAAATCATTGCAGTGCATAACTGTGAGGTTGAAGGAATGTTCCAGTATTTCAAATCTAAAGCTCCCCTACAATGAAGATTATAATTGAACCCAAACCTGCAAAAAACACATAATTAACATTAATGTTGTTTCCACAACAAGAATAAAGCTAGAATAAATCTTTAACAGATGAGAAATTGCATTTTCCAGAGTTTATCAGCAGGAATCATTAGTGCAGCACAATCTTTGGTTTCTAATTACTAATTGGAAGCGATAAATCAGATCCTAACTTCATTGGTTTGGATACAGTAACTGGAGGAAAGGTATTATTTCCCCACTAATGTTCACCCCTATCACCACATCTTGTTCCTTTTTATTTAAGGTAAATACTGCTGCACAAACAACTGTGAACAGGATGAGGTCCTATTTATCTAGGAAGCTCATTTTCTATATAATTTATTTTCAAAGTTCTTCAGGTTTGACATCCCTTTACGTCCCTGTTAACAACTTTAGTTCTATCTTTCCATTTTCACACAGACCCTGATCCCCAACAGTGGCGTTTCTTCATTCTCTGGTAAATATTTGAGATTTCTAATCAAAAGAGGATCAAGTGGAAAATAATGGCAGGGAAATTAATTAGCAAGCTTTTATTTGATAGGTATTAAAATTCAGCTGCGAACTGGAGGCATGACGTTGGTATTTATTATTCTTTCTAGTGATACTGCTTGCAGGGTTTTAACTTACAACAGAGGCCATGCTAACTCAGGATGCTCTGGGTTTGTGCCGCTGTACTTTGTTTTTAAAAAATAGTTTTTACCTGCAGCGCTTCCAGGAAGCGAAAGGAGCCCAACCGTCTGCCCCGGGGCACCAAGCAGAAGGTGGAATTGTGGAGCATCTCCTTGTAGTCGAATCTGCACAAAAGTAAAATAGACAAAAACGATCTGTGAGTTTACAGTCAGAACAGCTTCAAAGGAAAATCTGCTGCAATTACATTTACTAAATCTCAACTCAGACACTAAACGGTAGTTTTAAAAGGAATAGAGTGTCTATTATTGGTTGTTTTAATCCCATTTTCCATTTATATACAGTTTCTTTAAGCTTTCTTTATGTCTTCAGCCACTTTGCAGAATAATGTCCTACTCAACATCTCTGCTTCCTGCCTCCCTCTGTCTCTCCTCCTCTTCCTGCAGCTCCCTGATCCCTCCTTTTCTCCAGTGAGGTGTGTCTTATTGCTCTCCAAACAGGGTGATCAACCCTGCCAGGGGTAATGAGCTGAGAGTGACACCTGCTTCCACCACACAGCTGGCTCTGTCTCTGTGTGATAAACTGAGGCAGAAATGAAGAGCGGTGCATATCTGTGCATCAGTCTGTGTGTTCATGCTACTGTTCTGTTTTGACAGGTGTGTGTGTAAACCCCATTATCTTAGATGGATGGTTTCATGGAAATATTCGGACGTGGAGTGCCAGCTATTATTTTTTTGTCTCAGAGTTTCTTCCTGTTTTCCTGAACTGCAGCTAAATAGTCTTTTTGAATATAGAGGACTTTACCACACTGTGATGGAGACTATTTTCTACCCCAACTGCTACTGGTTAAAATATTCTTCTTTTAATTTTGTGGAAATACTGAAAGCCTTTTTATTACCCATATTTGACCCAGTAGAATATATTTCATTCACATATCTTGAATCGTGTGCCGACTTTAAAGTAAAAGCTATTAAATGGTTTCAGTCATACCAGTCAGATAGCAGTTTTAGTTTTCCAATAAAAGTCTCACATGTGGGGTGCTCCAAGGCTCAGATCTAAATCTTTTCCTTTTTCTTTAAAGAAAAACCTGAAGTATTTTTATGGTCAGAAAGCAAGATACCACTCTGTATCCATATCCTGTTCAGTGCATAAGTTGATTTTTTTTAGAAGGACATTGCTGCAAAAAAAAAATTACACTCGATAATGATAAACTTGCAAAACAGCAAGTCCAGATCAAAGCACCTTGGCTTTTGGTATTTTTATTGATTTTTATACAGAGGACACCATGCTTGTTTAGTGCCAGCGGGAGCTAGGCAACAAAAAAGCATGAAATATTGTAGATGCATTATGCATCTGATTTTCCAAAAACAACAATTACATACTAATAACTTATATGGCTGGTTGGCTTAACATTCAATGTCCCCATTGCCCAAACTATATAGTCATATTTAGTTGCCTAACAAGAAAAAAAAAAAAAAAGCATGTGTTTTCTCAACCGCAGTGCAGAAATCCATAGACTAGAAGTGAGGTCTAATACAGTTCATTTTTTTTCTAGAATAATTGCTGATTTCACTTCTGTTACTTTGGTTGTAAAAAAAGCATTAATGCAAACATGATAGTAATTAAAGGTTTATGACAATATAATGTTTGCAGTACGGCTGTCAAAGGCATCGATACTCAAACACTGTATCCGGATACTAGTTTGTTATGGTATAGATACTTATTACAGGTTTTATTTGCATATTTTTCTTATCGTTAATTTTAGATGTGATTTGCACATGAAGGTAACACCTTAAAAAACCTAAAAATATTGCAAAATGTTTATATATGTGGGTTATTTATGTTGCATGATTTGCATTCCTGTTTAACAAATAGAATCTGTTGCATGTTGAGATTGAAAAAGGGGAATTTTGTTGTTAAAAATATTTTTTTATTTTGCATTTTTGTATCCCCATGGTATCAAAAATGATATGGGGGTATCAAATAATTTCCTATTTTGAATTCCAGTATTGTGAAATCCCTAGATTGCAGAACGTTTTATTTTATGAAGAAAAAAATTCACCCATATCTTGATCCCACTGGACAACCTGTGTGAGACCTGAGTTTTAGAGAGTTATTTACAGCTGGGAAAATGTTCACAGAGGACCGCCTTTTAAAGGAGCCCAACGTTATATATATCACTCTCACTTATATAAGTGAGAAAAATTTGTTTCATACGGCCTTTTGGCAGCTGAAGAAAATCTCCATAACACCAGTTTAAAAATCATCAGCCAAAATTATACCAACAGACAGGATTCCAAACAAGCATCCCTGAGGATCACCATTTCTAATCTGCTGTATATCCAACCATCACAGCAGCATCTAGTTATAAAGATGCATGACAAGTTTAGTAACTTTATATTTTTGGCAAACCTATGCATTGCAAAATGAAATGAGTTTTCTTCAAAATCTGAATGTAAAACTCATCATTATTCTTTTTTTTCCCCCCAATGTTAGAGGATTTCTATATTTATTGTCTTAGGATATTGAAATTAACAAAGACAATCTGTTTATATAAAAAACTAAATCAATTTTTTTCATCTGAAAAGATGGCTTAAGTTGGCCTTAAATAATAGCTGTCCTTTTCTTCTGTGGTTTGTTTTATTAAATGAAAATGAGCCCAAAGGCCCAACAGGTTTGAGGTTAAAAGACTTCAGAGGCAGAAAATCATTTGTAATAAAACTGTAATCCATACAAGGTGAAGGTTACAGGACACCTGGCATAGATTCTGCTCCATTGATCATGCTGTGGATGTACTCTGTGCAGAGGTGTGACAGTGGTTGCTGATGCTGCCTCTGGTGCAGTGTGATACATATGGATTCAGCCGAGAGGTTAAAAGCTCCTCTTCCTTTTGCCCAAAGACAAACAAAAGAGAGCGCTGAACGTGCTGGAAGGAGGCCGCCCTTCGTCTTCTCTTCAGCTAAAGCCTGCTAATGTGTGGGAACACGAGGGCCTGCGATAAAAATCCCACCCCCGTTCACACCTACGTGTTGCAAAGCGTTCTCACAAAAACGAACGCAGAGAGGACAGGAGACAGCTGCACGCCCTCGCACTGACGTGCCGTCACCTGTCGGCGGAGACGAAGAAGCCATCTTAGCCCATATTTCAACACCAGCTGTCTGCCTGGACACAGCGTGAGTAAGTTAACAGCCCACCAGATAAAACCGGCATCTGAAGGCTATGAATATAAATGTGGAGTTTAACGAGCAGCAGAAGTTTAAGCAGGCAGTCCCACGTTGAATATAATACACACTGTTTACAGGTAGAAAAGTTACTTCATGTACACAGAGGATAAGTTAAAGCCTCTGGAGAAAAGCACAGGTTTCCTGCAAACATGATTTGACCAGGAATTGACAGTCGATTACTGACATCATTCACCTAACAGATCATTTTCTTTTCACCGAGTCTCAAAGATGCAGAAGCCTGAAAATAGGGTAAAATGGAGGGATATTTTCTTTTGCTTTCTTGTCACCGATGTCTATTATTTTGTGTGATAAAGCAGGTCTTCACTTTCATAAGAGTGTGAAAACCACCAATGGACTTCAAATTGAGACATAGTGCTTCGATGCAAACTTTGATTTTGCATAAACTTGCATCTGTTTGTAAATAAGTGGAATTTGTGTGTAGATGTATTAAAAAATATTACAACCAGATCGGTTTTAGTAGCCCACATTTTAGAGAATGGAAAAACAAATGTACAATAAATAAAGTCAAAAACAGAAAATACAAGAAAGGCAAACAGGAAAGCAGAATACGGCAGAATGAGCTCTGAATCTAAAGCCTGTTCAGCTCCTGAACATCTTCAGTCACCAACAAGAGCATGCTACTACACTGCCATGGTAACCTGTCATTAAGAGCTTTCATTTGCTCAGACTTAATTACACAAGGATGTAAATCATCCTGTCAGGATGAGAAACTATTGGAGAGGGAAGGAAATGATATTCTTTTTAGGAACAAATAAGCGCTACAAGTACAATAGATCAATGGTGCCAATATTTAGAAATGTATTCAGTTAAAAGCTGGTAGTGAATGTTGATGTTTCTTCAAATGACATGAAAGGAAGTTGTGTTTAGGTGTTTAAAAGTTGTGAAGATTAATAGTTGAATTTTAACCAGAGCATCAGAATGAGGAAGATGTTGGTCTGGATATCTCAGATTCTGCTGATCTATTGAGTTTAAAGCAACATTTTTTTCCCCATGTTTAACTTCAAGTGTCAGAAAAATAGAAAAAATATCTCAATTTTAGTCATAGTGGGTGAAAATGCCATATTGGTTCAAGATGAAATAGGAAACACTGGTTTAAATAACTATTTGTTAGAACCAAGCTTAGAAGGAAATCCCAGAAGGGATTGGTCCATTAGGGCGACAGGTCCCCCCTCTAAATGAAAGCAATTCTGATAATTAAAAGTAAAACTCAAGTAATCTATAGTATCAATATAAAATGCTTTCACATAGTTGTAACATGAAAAGGGCAATTATTTCCACTTTTTCTTAAATCAGCCTTCTTTTTATTAGCTTTACCGTTTAAGCAAATAGGCTGGTTTATGATGGTTAACAAACTGAAGCCAGTACGCAGCTTAGCAGCAGTCAGGGGGAACACAGGAGGAGGAGAAAGGACGATGATAAAGAAAAAATGGATGAAAACAGGCAATGAAATAAAAAGGAGAGATAAAATAAAACCATTAAGATGTTAATGTGAGATATAGGCCTAGATTTTGTTTTACAGATTTTCTAGATTTGTTTTTATGAAGTCTGTTGAACAGAAACAACAGTTTTTTTTAATATCAGCTGTGTAATGTCTAACGGATTGTGTGAGAATTTCTATAATACACAGATTGTATTCTTTAATAAAAGAAGCGGGTCTGTTCTGGAACCTCAAGTTGGTATGAAGGGGGGTTATGATCTGTCGATATGAGTAGTTCAATCTGAATTCATGTTAGGTTAGGGGGGCAACATGGAAATAATAAAAGATAAGGAAGTGCCCCCTTTTCATCATCTCCAAAAAAAAAAAGAAATCCAATGACCATCCAATGGAGTCAGGGGAAGTAATAATATTAATAAAGAATTTTAAAAAAGCAAAAAGTAAAAAAAACAAAAACAAATCTCTGTTACAGCCTAGTTCAATTCCA